ACAAGAATGGATTTCGTATCCAGTTTAATCTGACATTTATTTTATTCCATCCGACAACATGATATCTTGCTTTCACGATTACCCCTAGGTTGCAAACCATGCTTTAAATGAAGGTTTACTTACTATTTTTGCAACTCCATTTGAATATTGAACGCTATGCAGGACAGGGCAAGATACCGCCCATTTGGAGAGTTAACATGTTAAATAATATAACTAATATGATATTTATTGAAAAGGTATTTCTATAAACGAACATGGATACAATCTAGAAGAGATAGTATTTTATTGTTTATAATGAGGCGATAATTAATGATTACCAGCTCGTGACTTATTAAACGCTTAAGATTGTCGTCTGCTACAGCAATGAAATTCTGAAAACATAAATGCTTACCTGAGAAAGACATTTTCATGAGACGCCATCTTTGACCTACCTGATATTACATCTTATATTAAACCAATCAATACGGGGATGAACAAAGTTATGTTTCTATAGTAACATTAAATACATAAATAATTCCCTTTATGAAAAGAGACTGTTGAGATAATTGGGTAATGATTTAATTTTGCATGTACTATGTGCAAGAATCAATTAATGTATTCTTGTACTTTTGAGATATATTAGAGTAACGTAGGATCATGTTACAAGTGACAATATACGTCAAATCTAAAGGGCGTATTTTAAAATATTGATGTCATAAACGCTATAAAGAGGTTGTAAATACTTTATACAGATAGTAGTGATTATATTACCTTTAATGAAAAAGGTAAGGCCAAATAAATATGAAATAAAGCTTACTTCATCTACTGACTGACAACATCACCCATATAATGTTGAACATTGGGAGATAACGCTTCGTCATAATTCCTGTTTATAAGCACCCCCCCCCCCCCCTCCCCACACACACACACACACACCCTCACACCCCAGCCCCCCTCCCTACACGTTAAGAGTAAAACTGTTGTATTCTTTTCTTCAAGCTAATCTATCAGACCCTCATCAGAGGTTTTACAATAACAAGGTTACTATAGTAACGTTAATACTCCAATACTCTTTGACTTTGCGAACAATAAGATTAACAATATAAGTAGTGTATTAAAAAAGGGAACATCGATTTTTATTGTAGTGTATATAATTCCATACAACACACACATGATGTATCTCTTTGGCATTGGTTCAGGCCCACAAAATTTGGGGTCGGGTGAAGATCTGAGAATGTTTGCCCATTGTTATATTCATGGAACCGCAAAAGTGAAAACGCGAGACGCTTTATGATCACCTATCCAGAACACCTTTGTCACTTTACTATTGATTTTTTTTTCATTAACTGGACTCTCTTCTGTCATAACTTGAATAGCCAAAAATATTTTGGTATTTGATACCACGCGAAATAATGATTCTGGCTATCATTGATACGTACAGACTGTATGTGCTATTCCATTCCATCTAAAGCTTCGTTCCGAAGTGTAGCGATAAGCAAACACAGTGGGAGTCCAGTTCATTTGATTTCATGCTTCACTTTGTAATTTCAAAAAGTGTCTTGAAGGAGAAATAAAATAACAGGTCGATTAGATTCAATTTTCATTGAACAAATTTTCAAGTGATGTTTGCTGCTTATTTTTTATTGTTTGTATTTTTGGTGTTTAGTCAAACCATTTCAACCGGAAGTTTGTTTGTTTACATCCACAACAAACTGTCACGCACTAAATCAATACTCCATTTTTATTCGATCAAAATTCTGTATTCTTAAATCTGATTGGCTGAAACATTTGTTTACGCCGGCCATGTTTAGTGACTCGTGTTTGTTCACATTTCAAGTTGCTGTCTTTCAATTCTTTTACGTTTTGGGAGGAAAATAAGAAGTCCACAATGCCGATTGCTGTAAAAGACTTTTCTTGGGATCAAAATGATAAAATGGTGTATTTGACAGTGCCACTGAAAGGCGTCAAAACGAACAAAGTTGATATATTTTCCTCGGAGGAATATTTGAAGGTAAACACTTAATAAGCATATCTTATTACCACCGAGCAACTTATAAAACTATCGAAGAAATTAGAATTCAAATCGGCTGGATTGCAACATTTTGAACGATTATGTTCTCTCCTGGGGCAGGTCTAATTTGGTCAAATGTGAACTTGCTATAAAGTTGAAAGTCTAGTCTATGCCTGTGCATGCGTACATATCACTAGCCATTACCTCTCCCAAATTTCTCCTGTTTCCTATACAAAATAAGAAACAGGTCTGCTATACCTGTTAGATATAGGGCTGTTCTACTGCTCATTAAATTGCAAGTAACTGAATAGATATAGCTTGTCAAGAGTGTTTAGGGGGCTGGCTGGTAAAAAGGATCTTTGAGAAACAAATTTTGGTATCAGTAGTTGTCTTTTTTCCAGGTCAGCTATCCACCATATATATTTGAATGTTTATTGTCACACCCTGTGGATGATGAGGGAAGCTCAGCTCAACTTGGTAATGGTGCTGTTATATTTAAACTGAAGAAAACAGAATCAATAGAATGGTCTCAACTTCAATCACCAGATTCAGGTTTGTTCGCCTCCATTTTTAGCTTCGATCATGACTATAACCCTTTCACTTCTAGCAGCCACAAGCGTCTGGCCATGTATTCTCTAAACGATCTTAGCTCTAGGATGTCCTAGGTTTTTATCCTCTAACATTAATTCTAGGACATATTAGAGCCAAGATCGTTTCGAAAATATGTGGCCTGGTGAATTGTGCTTGTCAATTCCAAGTGATGTTTAAGTTATATTACTTTATATTTCTATATTTTATAGTAAACAAAGAAATAATGAAACAGAAAAGAGAAGAAGCAATAGAAAAAGTTCATAAAAGAGCCCAAGAAAAAGAAAAAGGAAAATCCGAAGTAAAAAGAAATAATGAGAAATTTTCTATTAACCAGATGATGGAGGTTGGTAAATGTTTCTATTTCTTTTTTAATCAGATGGGACAAACTTGAATATTCGCAAACAGATTCACATTTTGCATATATGTCATCTGATATCAATATGTGTAAATTGTGTTGAAACCTTTTGTACTTTTTATTAAGGAGTATGTTATACCATAATATATTCTCTTGTGTTGTTTTATATATTAAATATTTAATAAGAGTTACGTCATTAGAACACTACTGTTATAGAAATATTGTTAGATTACAAGACATATGAAATATATCAGTAAAAATAAAGAAACCAAATTTTAATCTAGTTTTAATAGATATGATAATGAATTATTGTGATATTTTGTTGTGTTTTATAGATTGAAGAAAGTGATAGACAGAGAATAGCTGATTTAAAACAATCAGAGAGAAATAAAGCTACAGATGATTTAGAAAGATGGAAAGACGAACAAATTAAAATTGCTGAACAGGTAAAAATTATTTACATCAAACTCTTTTAAAGGGATTCAATAATTACCTATTACAAGATACCTTGAGATACCTCACTTTCTTAGACTTTGGACGGGCTCCTCGTGAACTTGTTATCCTTGACAAGAAATTTGGTTAAGGGTCTTTAAGTTGTCATTCTCGTAAAATAGAATAATGATAAATAACATTGAATAACGGCCAGCTGGTAGACAGGATCCTTCAAATCCTGGTAACTATCCTTGTAAAATCATTTTAAGAGACTGGTTAAAGGAACAACTGGTAGACAGGAACCTCCAGGACCTGATATTAAAGCTGATTCCTGTAAAATAAAGATTACTAAATATTAAATCTATTTCTAGGAAAAGGAAAGGCTGTTGAAAGAAAAACTTCAAGAAGAAAAAATAAATAATAAAATTAAAAAAGAGAAATTGAAAGCCGCGGAAAAAGAAAATGGTGAGATTTAAATTGAAACCCAGTATTTGAAAATAATTTGATTCTTAATTTGGAGGTCATATTTTAATTTTTTAATATTGACACAGTTAGCTGAAATTTCTCCATGCCAGTGTCTTCTGTTGGATAGTAACTTGTTACCTTTCAACCACCCTAACCTCTACAATTAATTTAATCCTCCTGTGCCAGTGCCTTCTGTTGGATAGTAACTTGTTACCTTTCAACCACCCTAACCTCTACAATTAATTTAACCCTCCTGTGCCAGTGCCTTCTGTTGGATAGTAACTTGTTACCTTTCAACCACCCTAACCTCTACAATTAATTTAACCCTCCTGTGCCAGTGCCTTCTGTTGGATAGTAACTTGTTACCTTTCAACCACCCTAAGCTCTACAATTAATTTAACCCTCCTGTGCCAGTGCCTTCTGTTGGATAGTAACTTGTTACCTTTCAACCCCCCTAACCTCTACAATTAATTTAACCCTCCTGTGCCAGTGCCTTCTGTTGGATAGTAACTTGTTACCTTTCAACCACCCTAGTCACTATAATTTGGTACAAGTATTTTAGACAACATCATCCCATTTTTTCCATCTCTACTTTTCTGATAATTCTGATTTATTTATTAGCTGAGAAGAAAGAAAATGTGTTTGACTCTGGAGTCAGACAAACTGGTCATATAACAATAAAACATACGCCGCGTGTCTTCCCCACTCCCGTACGGGAATCCACCACCCCACTGGAAGATGAGTGGTTAAAAAAACAAGCTGAATCACGACGTGTGGTAGAACTAGAAGATAAAGATTTATCTGAAGAGGAGAAAAATCCACTGTGGTTACGAGACAAGGGGAAGTAAGTCAGTCAGAACTAATTTATTTAAATATCGTATTTGATTTAAAATCAAATTCTAAAGTAGCAACAGACATTAAAAGTCTATCATATTTAGTTTCAAATTCTTAAAGTTTTACCAGGGCTGTTGATTTGGTTATATTTGCCGGATATGTCCGCTTGTCTGTCTAAAATGCCTGGTTGAAAATAGCCTTCGTCAGACATCATGAATAGGTCTGTAATATTCAAAATCATATCAAATTACCCAAAAATGATATAGACCGCCCATGTTTATATTATAAATTGGACCCTGATCTCCTCACATATATCTCCTCGACTTACCCGATAAGGTAATAAATTTTCTTTATTTTCAGTTCGTTTTTTGCGTCTGGAGACTACCAATCAGCTATCAGTGTTTATAGTCACGCCATTCGACTCAACCCCAATATCCCCGGTTTATATTCTAATAGAGCCGCCTGCCATCTGAAAATTAGAAACTTCTTCAAGGCTGTAGAGGACAGCTCCAAGGTTTGTAGTTTTACATTTACAGGGTTTAAAGTCAAGATTTCAGATGGTTTGTAAAGATCCTTGTATAGCTTTACAAGTTTTCTAGAAACAAGAGTGTTGTCTGAAGATTCCTTGAAAATCCTTGCTAGATCTTGAAAATCCCTGCAAATGGAAAGAAAGATCTGAAAGTTTTCCTTATGAAGTCCTTGAATTTTTCACTCATGTTGTAAGCACCATGTTTTATATAAAAACTTTTGAACAGAAATTTAGCACATGTTGGCCAAGTTAAGAATCTTTTCTGTCATATTTTTTAAGAATTTTCTTATACTATTTTAATATGGTGATTTTTAATGATTTGATATTTTCTAGGCTTTAGAATTATTGACACCTGCTGTACCACAGAATGCAGCCAGTCGAGTTAAAGCTCATATTCGTCGAGGAACGTCTTTCTGTGAATTAGAGATGTATGTAGAAGGTAGGTAACTCTCGTTGAAAATAAATAGAAGTTCTAAGATGTCCCACAAGTCATAGGTTAAGGTCTTCTTGACACGCTCGGAGCCGTTCACAGTTCTAGTTTTTAACTAGGCTCTGAAGCTTACGCGAATTGTAGTTGTTTTTTCTCCAAACAAAGGTCTTCATACTCGTTATTTTTTCTACCAGGTTTGATGGATTATGAGGCAGCCTTGAAGATTGATAAAAATAATGACCAGTTACTACAAGATGCTGACAGAATACGTAATATTATACAGACTTCTAGTGATTATAGCTAGGACTAGAAACGAGGGTGGGGATGTCAGTGGAGCGGAGGATTGTTATACGCAACATAAATATTACATTAAGGGTTTGTCTTCAGTAGTGGCGTGCTCACAGCACCAGGCAAAGTGTAGAAGTGTAGAAGAAATTTAAAAGTGAAAAGGGGGGGGGGGGGGGAGGGCAAAACTTGGTATGTCTCGGCTCTCACAGATCTAACGTTGAGCATGGTTCTTGTTGAGTAGCTTATTGCAAGAGGGTGCAAAAAAAAACAATATCCGAATGCAAAATTATGCTTTGTTATGAAAGGTTGTCTTGTTTAAGTGTATATAGTTATATTATTTATATCAACAAAGATTTATTCCAGACCATGTAAATTTTTGATTTAAACAAAATGTACCAACAAAAACAACAAATTCCCAAATTTAATTCCAAATTTACATTGTATCATGCCAAAGTCTGGAACTTGGTGCCAATGGTGGGTGTAAATCAAACATTTTACGGACTTTATCCACTCCTTTGATTCCAACCAATGAACTAGCAGTATCGGGAATATTTTCAAAATAATCGTTCCAATGAAAATCCTGGGCATTACGGAAACAGAATTGTGCTTGAAGATTTGGTTTCCAGTAGGTATAATATAAAACATAGAAATTACACATTTCATCGGCATTGGTAGGACTGAAAATATAAACAATGGTGATTCAATGTCCTATTTGCAAGACCAAGAAAGCTGGGCAACTCCATGTCGTCAGTGAGAAATTCTTCAGAATGATAAGCATATTTGAATTCTTGTATTTTTAATAACCTGCTATGCTTGCTACTGTGATCGCTCCACAAACACTCTGCAACATTCAGATAAACTGAAATGATCTTTCGTAAGATTTGCTTGGACTGTAGCAGAGGCACCAGTACCTTACCTACTAGTGCCGTCAACCGACTATAGCTTAGTTGTAAATTATATTTAAAAGTGAAAATCATACCCTATGTGTGTATTATGTGTTCTTTTCACACTGTTCATGGTACATCGTGCTGCCTACAATATTATAATAGTTATCAACCATAAATAACGACAGTCTTTATAATCCAGGGGCGTATCTACTAAATGCCTCAAGGATGGACCAAAAACTAGAGAAGCACCAATTGAAGTATCAGATATTGAGGAAAAGTCTGAGAAAGAGTTCCTCTATTAGCTTGAAATAATGAAAACGTACCAGAACATCCCCTGGTCTAACCTCTACATGGTTTGTTACATTATAAAATGTTTCTGGTAACTGGGGAGACATTCGACCTATTTCTATCCACGTTCCATCTCGAATTCTATAACCTGACGTCACTACTCCTGTAAAAACATTACATTACGATCAATATAAATTAAATTCAAAATTTGCCAAAATCTAGTCCGTTAAAGACAACACCTTTTGCGGTCATGTGCTTGGATGAGTTGAGGAAATGTCGGTAGTGAGATTTAATCTAGATCGGCGTGTGGAAGTCGGGTGACCTTTAATAAGTCATATTTCAACATCATTCAAGTCGACCTAACTACAGGAGGGTATAGATAATCCAAGAAAGATCAATGCAAAGAAAGATCAATGCCAAGAAAGATCAATGCCAAGACTTCAGCCAAGGGCCTGCTGATCCCGATGAAGTTATATTCACAGTGACTTGTTGGGTTATGGTACATTTGACTAGTCATATTCGGGCAAAATAATGCGCAATGTATACGCAAATATACGTATATGATTAATAATTGACCTACCCAGATTGTGGGAATGGGTTCTATAACCAATGGGATAAATAGGATACTCGTTTTCATATTTACACGCCGTTTCCATTGTGAACGCTGCAAAATAAGATGACTCGACATTCAATATCCAATTTGCCTATGATGACATATCGATATTATTTATAACGACCAAAACAAAATTCTTTCATAATATCATCAGTTGTCTTTAGCCATCATCTCGTCTCGTTGGTGTCTGAAAACATCCTATCAGCTGATTCTGGGTTTCTTTCGAAATGCATGGATTAAAATCATGAAGTACGATTGAGCCAGACCTACCTCGTTGTTTTGGAGGAATATATCCATGAGTTCCAATCACATAAAATCCAGCTTGTTTCGGCTGTCTGAAAGAAATAGACAGATATATACAGTTAATTCATGAACCAAAATAATTGCCGAGCAATAAGACGTAAAACTGCACTCTATTTTGCTAAGTTCTGTGTAAAAATTTAAGATGTTTATTTTCTCTATTTCTTTTAAATCAATTGACACAAACCTTTCACGTGTCATCTGTAATGTTACACCAGAATTATCTGTTCTTCCAGCTTAAAAAATAACAAGAGTCAAGTTTAAAATCAATTCGTCTTTGAAGAGTTGGACTTCCAAGAAAAGACAATTCCCATGTTACAGCATACTTGTGCGTGGTGAAAAGAAACAACACAAATCAACTGAAATCATCTTTGTTCATCTCTATTTAAATCATACAACCATCTGATAATGCCCCACCAGGATAATAAGAACAAACTTACGTGGGAATATATGTTTATAATGTAGTTGAATAACAATATAGTTTACTCCAGTAGTACCACTTAATCTTAGTCCAACTCCTGAAATATATCACATAAATAGTTGATGGTAATGTAAATTGTTGAAACGCTGTGTACATGAAAATCTAGTAATATACCATAATATACAGGTGATAGCAGTGTAAATTGTTGAAATATCGTGTACATGAAAATCCACTAGTAATATACTAAAAACTGATGATAGCATTGTAAATTGTTGAAACGTCTTGTATAATACAACCCATGGGTAGCATACCATATAAACTGGCGATGACAATGTAAATTGTTGAAACGATAGGCTCACTAACCTTCAGGAGAGGTATGCAATGATATAGATTATTTCGACGTTGTTCAGTAATTGACAGCGTATTTATTAGAACTTACCGTCAGGGAATTGAAATGAGGGAGCGTCCAATGCCCAGGCAAATACTACTTGTTTTTCACCTTTACCACAAACTTCCGTCTCAAAATCTTCATGATTCTCGTTACACAACCTACAAAATCATCACGCAAGGGGTGGGATTTTCCCTTCTTCGTACAACTGTAAGTTAAGACTACCCCTCGGATGTATTTTGGTAACGTGTGGGTACATGGATATTGTAGAATATCCGACATTGTCTTGCTGGAATTACGTTTGATCTTTTTTTATGTGTATAGATTATGTATTCTCTGATAATCTTTCAACCTCCCAATTTGTCTTTTTGTATCGCTGTAATAACTCACACTCAACTCAGACGCGATGATTTTAAAACCAATACTTCCATTGTGCTTTGTGAAATAATAACTTACCACGATGGTTCATGACTTGCTGGTAAAATACAACCAAATACCATCATATGATGAGCTACATCAGCCGAGGCATGGGGAATATAACTCACTGAAATATAGAAATATTTTACGAGAAAAATGCCTTATTTCATGATTTATTTTGAGAGGAATAAGGTACTTCATAACAAAATAATTCTTTAATTTACAAGATGAAATTACCTACATACGTTTCCTCTGGGTCCAATTTTATCCCATGACAGACTAACGCATCTGGCTGAAATTAAATAAAACCAATTATGAAATTTTGAACGAACTTGTTGGATTCCACATATAATAGAATTTTAATTTAAGCACTTCTATTGATGAGTTTGTTTGATTACATCAAAGTAATTAGTAGGCTACTGTAGCGGGTATCGCTATAGTGATAGTTCCGAACTCTCCCCAAAAACGAACTATCAGAGGTCCAATTAGATTCGTATGAGTGATGAGAAAAGGCTCCGCCAGATTATTAAAAAATTATATACCCGAGGAGAAATCACATTAGGCATGCGTATTGTAAGATTATAAACTTTATGGTCGACATCCTGAGTAATCACTGACACTATTCCAAACACTACACACAGCGAAATGTATCCCACTGTCAAATCCATGTTAATGTGTAACAAAATTAGAATCCTCGAAATCGACCTGACTTTTTGACAGACATCACATCGTTATCGGACTTATCATTAATATAATTCACATGAAGTTAGTGGGAACAGCAATCTGTTACCTTCTCAGAATGAAACAATCGGTTCATTCATTCGTCTGATAGGTAATGTTTACCTTGTAGGCCTCGTGGGACGTGATTACGTTGGTAATAGATCACAAACATTTACATGCATATAGTTTAATCAATGATATATCATTAGTGACAAGAAAATTCAGATTCGGATCCGAGCTACACTTCTACGCACTTGCATCGTCGTTAAAACCACACCCCTTATGGGTAATTAGATATAGTTTTGGAACTTTTGAAGAGACGATGGCACTAGTGTAGCCTGTAGCCAATACGACACTGTACGTCGTTCCTGCAAAGGATATGACGTAAGAACCACACCTAGTTTCGTATGGCATGTAGCTTTTATAGCTGTTACAGATTGAACATGGAAAAAATCTTATCTCTCAACTAAGCCATAGAGAATGTTTATAGCACACCAGGACATGCTTACTTTTCCGAAACACCTGATACCTCTTTGCGAATAAGTTTGTCAACCCGTCGAATCCTCATGATTTTATTAATATTTTTCAATTCCAAGTATTTAATCATGGATTCTATCGTGTAATCAATCTTTCGTATATTCGTCCCTTTGTTCGTTTGTTATTCATCCCTTTGTTCATTCATTCATTCTTTCATTCATTCTGTTATTAATAATGAAGATGTTTTGGAGATATTGAAGTGATTTAAACAATAATATAAAATATAGAGCGTACAACTAGTTTGATTTAATCCTCTTATTTTCTGGTAGATATATTGATATACTTCTCTCCTGTCATACCAGTATATTCAATTTATTTTATGGTTAGGGTCGTCTCAATCTTAGTTAGACAGATCTAGATAGTTCATCTAGTTCTATTTTCGGTGGACTGTTTGTTTTATTAGCTCAGGAAAAGGATAAAGATCAAGGACAGTATTTTAAGATTGACGCTGAAATACCTAGAGCTGTATTTTAATGAAATACCTAGAGCCGTATTTTAATGAAATACCTAGAGCTGAGCTGTATTTAAATGAAATACCTAGAGCTGTATTTTAATGAAATACCTAGAGCCGTATTTTAATGAAATACCTAGAGCTGTATTTCAATGAAATACCTAGAGCTGAGCTGTATTTAAATGAAATACCTAGAGCTGTATTTTAATGAAATACCTAGAGCCGTATTTTAATGAAATACCTAGAGCTGTATTTTAATGAAATACCTAGAGCTGAGCTGTATTTAAATGAAATACCTAGAGCTGTATTTTAATGAAATACCTAGAGCCGTATTTTAATGAAATACATAGAGCTGTATTTTAATGAAATACCTAGAGCTGAGCTGTATTTAAATGAAATACCTAGAGCTGTATTTTAATGAAATACCTAGAGCTGTATTTTAATGAAATATCTAGAGCTGTATTTCAATGAAATATCAAGAGCTGTATTTCAATGAAATACCAAGAGCCGTATTTTAATGAAATACCTAGAGCTGTATTTTAATGAAATATCTAGAGCTGAGCTGTATTTAAATGAAATACCTAGAGCTGTATTTTAATGAAATACCTAGAGCTGTATTTTAATGAAATACCTAGAGCCGTATTTTAATGAAATACCTAGAGCTGAGCTGTATTTAAATGAAATACCTAGAGCTGTATTTTTATGAAATACCTAGAGCTGTATTTTAATGAAACACCTAGAGCTGAGCTGTATTTAAATGGAATACCTAGAGCCGTATTTTAATGAAATACCTAGAGCTGAGCTGTATTTAAATGAAATACCTAGAGCTGTATTTTAATGAAATACCTAGAGCTGTATTTTAATGAAATATCTAGAGCTGTATTTCAATGAAATATCAAGAGCTGTATTTCAATGAAATACCAAGAGCCGTATTTTAATGAAATACCTAGAGCTGTATTTTAATGAAATATCTAGAGCTATATTTTAATGAAATATCAAGAGCTGTATTTTTATAAAATACCCAGGGCTGTATTTTAATTAAATATCAAGAGCTGTATTTTTATAAAATACCCAGGACTGTATTTTAATTAAATATCTAGAGCTGTATTTTAATGAAATATCTAGAGCTGTATTTTTATAAAATACCCAGGACTGTATTTTAATGAAAGTATCTAGAGCTGTATTGTAATGAAAGTATCTAGAGCTGTATTTTAATGAAAGTATCTAGAGCTGTATTGTAATGAAAGTATCTAGAGCTGTATTGTAATGAAATATCTAGAGCTGTATTTTAATGAAAGTATCTAGAGCTGTATTGTAATGAAAGTATCTAGAGCTTTATTGTAATGAAAGTATCTAGAGCTGTATTGTAATGAAAGTATCTAGAGCTGTATTGTAATGAAAGTATCTAGAGCTGTATTGTAATGAAAGTATCTAGAGCTGTATTTTAATGAAAGTATCTAGAGCTGTATTGTAATGAAAGTATCTAGAGCTGTATTTTAATGAAAGTATCTAGAGCTGTATTGTAATGAAAGTATCTAGAGCTGTATTGTAATGAAAGTATCTAGAGCTGTATTGTAATGAAAGTATCTAGAGCTGTATTGTAATGAAAGTATCTAGAGCTGTATTTTAATGAAAGTATCTAGAGCTGTATTGTAATGAAAGTATCTAGTGCTGTATTGTAATGAAAGTATCTAGAGCTGTATTGTAATGAAAGTATCTAGAGCTGTATTGTAATGAAAGTATCTAGAGCTGTATTGTAATGAAAGTATCTAGAGCTGTATTGTAATGAAAGTATCTAGAGCTGTATTGTAATGAAAGTATCTAGAGCTGTATTGTAATGAAAGTATCTAGAGCTGTATTGTAATGAAATACCTAGAGCTGTATTTTAATGAAATACCTAGAGCTATATTTTAATGAAATATCAAGAGCTGTATTTTTATAAAATACCCAGGGCTGTATTTTAATTAAATATCAAGAGCTGTATTTTAATGAAATATCTAGAGCTGTATTTTAATGAAATATCTAGAGCTGTATTTTAATGAAATACCAAGAGCCGTATTTTAATGAAATACCTAGAGCTGTATTTTAATGAAATATCTAGAGCTATATTTTAATGAAATATCAAGAGCTGTATTTTTATAAAATATCCAGGACTGTATTTTAATTAAATATCTAGAGCTATATTTTAATGAAATATCAAGAGCTGTATTTTTATAAAATACCAAGGGCTGTATTTTAATTAAATATCAAGAGCTGTATTTTTATAAAATACCCAGGACTGTATTTTAATTAAATATCTAGAGCTGTATTTTAATGAAATATCTAGAGCTGTATTTTAATGAAATATCTAGAGCTGTATTTTAATTAAATATCTAGAGCTGTATTTTTATAAAATACCTAGCACTGTATTTTAATTAAATATCTAGAGCTGTATTTTTATAAAATACCTAGGACTGTATTTTAATTAAATATCTAGAGCTGTATTTTAATGAAATATCTAGAGCTGTATTTTAATGAAATATCTAGAGCTGTATTTTTATAAAATACCTAGGACTGTATTTTAATGAAATATCAAGAGCTGTATTTTTATAAAATATCTAGAGCTATATTTTAATGAAATATCAAGAGCTGTATTTTTATAAAATACCCATGGCTGTATTTTAATTAAATATCAAGAGCTGTATTTTTATAAAATACCCAGGACTGTATTTTAATTAAATATCTAGAGCTGTATTTTAATTAAATATCTAGAGCTGTATTTTAATTAAATATCTAGAGCTGTATTTTTATAAAATACCTAGCACTGTATTTTAATTAAATATCTAGAGCTGTATTTTTATAAAATACCTAGGACTGTATTTTAATTAAATATCTAGAGCTGTATTTTAATAAAAGTATCTAGAGCTGTATTGTAATGAAAGTATCTAGAGCTGTATTGTAATGAAAGTATCTAGAGCTGTATTGTAATGAAAGTATCTAGAGCTGTATTGTAATGAAAGTATCTAGAGCTGTATTTTAATGAAAGTATCTAGAGCTGTATTGTAATGAAAGTATCTAGAGCTGTATTTTAATGAAAGTATCTAGAGCTGTATTGTAATGAAAGTATCTAGAGCTGTATTGTAATGAAAGTATCTAGAGCTGTATTTTAATGAAAGTATCTAGAGCTGTATTGTAATGAAATATCTAGAGCTGTATTTAAATGAAATACCTAGAGCTGTATTTTAATGAAATACCTAGAGCTGTTTTTTAATGAAATATCTAGAGCTGTATTTTAATGAAATATCAAGAGCTGTATTTTAATGAAATATCTAGAGCTGTATTTTAATGAAATACCTAGAGCTGTATTTTAATGAAATACCTAGAGCTGTATTTTAATGAAATATCTAGAGCTGTATTTCAATGAAATATCTAGAGCTGTATTTTAATGAAATATCTAGAGCTGTATTTCAATGAAATATCAAGAGCTGTATTTTAATGAAATATCTAGAGCTGTATTGTAATGAAAGTATCTAGAGCTGTATTTTAATGAAAGTATCTAGAGCTGTATTTTAATGAAAGTATCTAGAGCTGTATTTTAATGAAATATCTAGAGCTAATGAAATATCTAGAGCTGTATTTTACTGAAATATCTAGAGCTGTATTTTAATGAAATATCTAGAGCTAATGAAATATCTAGAGCTGTATTTTACTGAATTATCAAGAGCTGTATTTTAATGAAATATCAAGAGCTGTATTTTAATGAAATACCTAGAGCTGTATTGTAATGAAAGTATCTAGAGCTGTATTTTTATAAAATACCTAGGACTGTATTTTAATTAAATATCAAGAGCTGTATTTTAATGAAAGTATCTAGAGCTGTATTGTAATGAAAGTATCTAGAGCTGTATTTTAATGAAAGTATCTAGAGCTGTATTGTAATGAAAGTATCTAGAGCTGTATTGTAATGAAAGTATCTAGAGCTGTATTTTAATCACCGTTGTGTAGGTCAGCCTTGACTATATTAAACTATCGGATTAAACTGAAGATGAGTTCGACACCGATCTATATTATGTTAAATTTATTAGATTTTTATTGGTTCATTGGATACCAATATTTGATTGACAGTCGCCGAGTTTCATAGTCCTTAGTGACGTTCTCTCTGTCATATCTTTAAATTTATTTCGTTTGATTTCTGACTGATCTTCTAATGGAATTCACAGTGATTCAAATTTTCTGAAAAATCTGGTGTCTTTCGTTTTCATTTTGGGATTTCGCTGTGATTCCAGTAGCCTATGTCTTCAATCTGATTGTTCAGGGTATATTTTACCCAGAGTGTCATTGTGTCGTTGGAATTAAAGTTCATGAAATTGTCCAGTAGAATGTGAATTCAGATATTATTTCTGCCGAATGCTGTGATTTCTGTAATTACAAAACAAAATGGACGTCATTGATATCGATGGTCTGAGAAAAAGGTATCAGTATACTTGTTCTCTTCTGTATTAACTATCTAATGATCTGATATCATTTACAATATACAGGATGATTATAAGCTATGTGGACGCTTCTTTAAGGATGCGGTGTTAATAAACCCAAATCGCACAATTAACATCGTTTAAACTGGGCATTGTCCCGAGGTCATGTTTTTTCTTAATGCACGATGCGTGGATGGCAACTGGTTTTATTTTATATCCCACATGTTTAAAAGACTGTATTCTTTTAATTTTAATTTTCAGAGCTCAAAGAACAAAAACCAAGATACAAAGCGAGATTCTGTTCGGTAAAGTTCGACATAGCGAAGTGAACCATTTGACAGTGACCAGAATTGTGGGTAGCCATGTCGAATGTCAGAAACGTGTGCAGACGTACCGCGCAGATCTGACATTAACTCTAAATAATATCAAACGACAACAATGTCAGCTGCGACGTACCATGGTACACTACTCTAGGAAATTACGTCATAACAGAAAAGAGCGCGAAGAACGAGAACGGAAGGCAAAATTGGAAGCAGAAATGAAAAGTTTGAAATTACCCCCAATTGTTGAAGAAGTAGAACAGAACGCAGACGATCGACAGTCTGATAGTGGATCTGAATTTGATACAAATTTCCAAGAAAATGAGGAAAATGTTGACAAGGGTGACGTTGCAGACAAACACGATGTTGAGCAAACGTCAGAAACCGTTATTCCGACTATAGCAGTCGAGGTCGAAGGTGAATCGAACGAGGAAATCAACAAAGATGGAAAGGACACGGAGCCGACTGTCGAACTACAAGAAACAAATCCCATGGACATCCTGACTAAAAACCTTCAGGAAAGCTGCAATGATCCACCAAAGGTACCGGAAGTGTCGACCGATCCAAATGATTTCAATATTGAAATGTACTCAAAGAAAAAACGGAAGCGACAAAAGCAGACCGTGAATTATTCAGATTTGATAAAGCTTCGACATTCGACGAGCAAAAAGAAATTATTTTCCCTAGTGGACAAACTTTCTAAAGTACATGGACACCAGAAAGTTGAAAGAGCTTCGCAGAATCAACTGCAACCTGGGAGCAAAGAACACGAACCAGAGCGTAAGACGTCGATCTTTTATCCGATAAATTACGGATATGACGTCCCAGATGAACCGGAACCCGAGGTCGAGCCACCTAAAATACCACTCTATGAAGATACATGTACCTCCTTAGAAAAGGTGCCAGATTTACCATACAACAACCTCTTTTCAGCAGCAGACAACAAATTTTGGCGTGAATTACACCAGACAAGAAGAGCCAATGAACGTTCGACTCCAACTAACGGGAATGAGATCGAGTCAAAACAGGAAACTAAAACTGAACGACGCAGACGTAGAGCGTCTGATTTACCTCTTCTGGTTGCAGATTACTCCGACATGAAAAATAGGGCACTGAAAACCGATTCTGAACATCATTGCAAATCTAGGGAGAGGGTGTATCATTCCGCCAAGTCTAGATATCGTCAACCACGACTGCTGCCACCTATATCAAGCCCAATGAAATTTTGAAGAAATAGCCTTTAATCACCTTAACTTATACTCAGCCGAGCTGCTATTCTACTGACAATATCTATTGTATCAACATATCTATACACATTGTGAAATTAAACCATTGAATGGATCCTAATCAATAAAAAGACAGATTCACCAGCGATTTAACTAATCGTCCTTAGTCTCAGAAACAGCTAAGCTCACTAGTAATAGTGTTCACAGTTCAAATTCATGTGTGTATAGAATTATCCGCATTTGAAAGTAAAATGACGACTCGCCTTTTCTTGAGACTCCACCATATTGAAAAGACATAGATAGAATTAGAAAATGAACATTCTAGTTTGAGGTATATTTGAAGGCTATTTTCGTACAGTTCTGGTACCTCTGAAGACGGTGAATATGTTCAACCCCCGAAAATGGCGAACCATAGCCGTTAATGAAAAATCTAGGTCGGATTTACTGAAAATTAATATAGAAAACAGCAATATCAATTTTGATTTGTGGTACACAAGACCCACGTTAGCACCACCAGCGCAATGTTGTTCTGATGTTTGACCAAATCTTACGTCAGGTCAGTAACCGGAATCGCAGACGTTGGATTCGAAGTCGTAATGATGCAAATTGAGGCTTTGCACTGATACACACGCTTAGAAAGGGAATGTCGATGAAAAGGTTAAGATAAATTCACATATAAAATTGCATAATACAGGGTTTCTATTCACAAATAAAGTTCGTATCCACTTTGTGACTTAGTGTAAATTCGTGTTAGCTGTAGGTCCTAGGTCTATTCGGTATATAACGTTATATATTAGAAGAAGTACTGTACAGATATTTCGACAGATCTCTAAGCCTGCTGAATCATATCAGAAAGATGTATGGTGAGTCTAATACTTTTACGGTCGAGGTTTTAAGTTTTTATTATTTTGACATGGGGTTGACCTGCTAAATATTTACGCTTGTATACATGAACCGGTTATTTTGACAATGACAATAACTTCTTGTAGATGTCTTGTTGAGAATATCATCACATTAACTCCTTGTAACAAATCTTTAAGTTAAATAACATTCACAAGTTGAAAACATAAAAGAACCTAATTTTATTTTTACCCCCCGGAGCACTTTGTCTCTGCATAACATTATAATACCGACATAATAACGATAACTTAACGGCTTATAATTATCTTATCGATGTATTCGCTTGATTTAAGTTTACCTCCGGCTGCCATATTGGATCAGTTCAGTCGGATTTTCGGTTTATTTTTCACACATAAAATATCTCTTATATTTTTACAAAATTTAAGTTCCAAGCCTACTAGACCAGAAATGACAACAAAAAACTGTTTTTATCTTCAGCCAAATTAATTCATAAAAATAAACCTACTTCGGATATTCGAGTGTTAATCGAATCCTACAGGCTAAAAATAGGACTGGTATTGTTAGAATGTGTTTGTGTCGATAAAAAATATATACATGGCCACACAGTGTGCCTTTGGAATTTCCCTTTACAAAGGACAATAGCCAGTCAATATTTGGGTGAAATTTCTGGCAGGGAAGTGTGGTTTTATCCAATGTTAACTTGTCAACTGATCATCTCATCAAATTATTATATTTTTCGAGTAAAAGTCAAATTGAGACTCAAATTTAAAAAAAGAATTGGCAAATTTTGATTTACAGGACAGTACACTTGTTACAGCCGAGTTAATTCTCGTAATGACTAATGACGTACAGTTTCGATGGTATGGTATTTTGAAACGCGATCAACTCAGGTGTAAAATAAAGAAAAGTTTGATTGTTTTTGATTAGTTTAATATTTGAATAGTACCTGACTGGTTGTACAGGTGAGACCTCAATAATTACAGGTAAATACATCTTTATTTGTTCTTTTATCGGCTATCGAGTGCTTGGTTGGTGACATGTTAACAGAAGAAGCTGATATCGCAAACTAGGTAGTTCTCGGTAGATGACAAGTTAACGTCCACTTCCAACAGATGATGATATCGCAAACTAGGTAGTTGTTGCTAGATGATGAGTTAACGTCCGCTTCCAGCTAACTGATATCACAGACTAGGTAGTTGTTGGAAGATGCCAAATTAACGTCCGCTTCCAGCTAACTGATATCACAGACTAGGTAGTTGTTGGAAGATGCCAAATTAACGTCCGCTTCCAGCTAACTGATATCACAGACTAGGTAGTTGTTGGTAGATGACAAGTTAACGTTAACAGAAGAAGCTGATATCGCAAACTATGTAGTTCTCGGTGCGTTCGTTTCCAGGAGATGCTGATATCGGAAACTAAGTAGTTGTTGGTAGTCTAGGTAGCTGGTAGTAGGAACAAGATCAATTGGATTATTCGGCAGTTCTTTCTGCATTGTAAGATAAAGAAGTTTATAGTACAATCTCCGAGTCTGTAACAAGAAAGCACCTGCCATATATTATCATATTCTGATGTTCCTAATGCCGGTTGGATAGTTGTAATACCTACTATTCTACCAACTTGGTTCCTGTATATTCGAAATAGAACTGTAGGAAATTGGTAATTGGTTTCATTTTGTCATGTTTTTCGCTCGGTTTCATGATTTTACCCAAAATTTCTACAATTTATTATATCAGTCTTGAAGTCTTGCTATTTCATAATTTGTAGATCGTTGTAGTGATTTAAAGCAAGTATTTGCTGTGGACAATGAGGCAAAGGAAGTTCAAAGTGCTTCTATTAACACTGGTATCATTTTTGGTACTGATTTTAACCAGATTAGGTGAGTTACGTCCCTTAGTACCTTTTCAAGGATATTCGGTTTATTGTCCCATGACTAAAGAATAGAATCTATATATAACACGTCTTTGTAATTTATTGAAAAACGTGCGTGTGTCAGAATTACTTAGTTTAATGAATTATCACTATTATTTATATTTATTGGATTATAGAGGGATTCTAATGTACAGTTTTGAATTTTTTTTTCGGTCACCCAAAGAGGTAGTATACCTTTAGTGAAGACGCATATAAACTTTGTTGTACCGATTAAACTTCTCTTTTGCCAATTGAGCTTGTCTTTTAGAGAGTTCACATAGATGAATATGATATTTTGATGTTCTAATTCAACTAGGATTATTTTTTTTCAGAATCCCCAAAATCAAACGAAAGCCGAGATCTTCAGGTGGCACAAGTGAATGTTCCAGATCCAAAATTAGCACCGTTATTCCGTGTAATCAACGACAGAGAATTTGAGGTAAGACCTCTCTAGAGATTCAAAGTGGTTCTAAACTATGTTCGTGTGTATTATTTCTATGTCGGAGTAATTACAATCTAGACAAACAAGAGTTATTTCCCTTCACCTTGTAGAGGATGCTGTATAAAATACCACTAATTCTTGTAGCGGATAGTTTATATCATTATTTACAAAATTTGTTTATACCTGTAAATTCTATATGTTTTCAAAGCTCCATCTTTAATATCAAACAGTAGCCTTTGGCATAATGGACTCGATATCAGTAAGTCAGTAACTTATGAGTATTATAAGTTATAGGAACGGTGCTCTAAACCGGGTAGAGGGATTGTTAGAAATGAGCAATTCCGAGGCAAGATTCATTACCGGTCTGCATAACAGAATCAGTGGATCTTAAGACTTTTGATTGGTTAATATCATCCCTGGATTAGGATTAGCCAATCGTTTCGCCTACGTCGACTACGACTGATCCGATGATATACTTTGAATTTCCAGTACGCGTCACGTTACTATGGAGATTACAACAGTTATAACTACATAAAGAAAGAACAATTAAAATATTGAAATTCCAGATTCTTAGCCTTACTATAACAAGCCAGTATATTCTGAGAATTTTATTTATCTTTACAGGATGCGGAAGTGGAACAGCAGCGCCGTCTAGCGAGAATCGACAAAGTTTGTCAAGATGTGTCACGTGGTAATACAGAAAACATTTTAATGTACAAACCCAAAAATATGAGTTATTGCGTCATCCCTAAAAATGGCTGCACTTTTTGGATCCGGGTCATGAGGTACCTGAATAAGGACACTGAAAATAAAAAAATCTCGAGTCCCTTCGATATTTCACGGTTTGAGGCCCATGGCTGGCGTTACAATCAAACATTGTACAGACTTCAAAATACAAAACATAGGGACTTGATTTTCAAATCGACCCGGTTCCTCGTCAGTCGGGACCCTTATTCCAAACTACTATCCGGATATATGGATAAGTTATTTCTTCCCATGTATTGGACCTTCCAAGGGATTAATATGATTAAGAAGGTCCGGAAAAATCCCTCGGATCTGAGTTTAAAATGTGGACACGATTTAAGTTTTCAGGAATTTTTGGATTTTTTATTAACGGAAAAAGACGATCCGACAAAAATTGACGGTCATTTTCGGCCAACTCAATTCTACTGTAGTCCGTGTATTTTTAAACCTCATTTTGTCGCCAAGCAGGAAAGTTTCAAGAAAGACTCGGAGTATATTCTCGGCAAGTTCGGACTTTTGGACATAGTGAAATCCTACGACCACAAATCACATGTGAAAGACGAATTGCGGATTTTATTGACGGATTATCTGGGATGGGCAAATTCTAAAACAGTGAAAGAATGTTTAGGAAAGAAGGAATTTTTATTAAGAATCTGGAAAACTTTTGAAATAAATGGTTATCTCCCTTTAGGAAGTGAATCAATCATTGAAACCATGGAAACATCTAAACTGACAGCAAGCGTGTTTAAAACAGCGGTTTTCGACGCATTTACTAAAGGACAATCGAACCATAAAACAATGCGGGAACAGAGACGTCGTATGATGGCTGAAATGTATCGAAACGTTTCACGAACGACTTTGGAAAATATTTCTGAATTGTTTGAAGTTGATTTTAAACTGTTTGGATATGAATCGCAGCCGTCGGATATTTTCACTTGAAAATCTTTTATTTTTCCTATCTCTAGGTTTCTGTGTGTGTGACGTCATCAGAATGTGTGTCTGCTTTTAAATTGGAACAAGAAAACGTAAATTACTGCTACTGTCGACCAACTTTTAAAAAGCGCAGGCCGTGAAATTAGTATTTTTCTTACATCACAGTGGAAGGAACCAAGGGACCTATATGTAATCGTCTATACCAGCCTGCTTAGCGGACTTGTGGTTCAATCAGTGTTTGAGCAAGAAAATTAAAATTTGGAGGGTAGCGCGTATGGTAGCGGAACAGAACCACTTTTACGGAATTCATTCAGGTCCACAAATTAACTTGCTACTTGCTACATGTTGAGCTATTCCAGTGCTAACTTCCTACTTTCTACAGACTGAGTTATTCCTATTGCTACTTGCTACAGACTGAGCTAGTCCTATGCCACATATTAAACTGTAGTTTATGGACTATAGTTTTAAGTTGTTTGACAGTTGATAATATATTAAATGGTTTATATTTGTTGGATTTGTTATTTTAATTTTTACTGTACTATCATTATCCTTCCACTAAATGATAAATTTTAAGAGATAAAATGTTGCTAGCTATCGGAAAGGGGGTTGCTTTCAGATTTCAGATTCAGTCGCAAGTCAATCTAATTCCACCCCAGTCCCTCCCTCTTTCTGGGTGTGTTCAACAAACAAGGATATTAAAACATATTAAATGTGATTTATAGAAGATTAATCCAGATATCAATCTGAATTCGGTGTTGTCTCTATACTGAATATAATTTATAGGTTTATTTTGTAAAATCTATAATAATTATATACTTAGTGTAAATAACAACTAGTTCTAATGTCTTTTGGTTGATATATAGTCTCGCTTTATCGGCATTCTTTTAGCAACTGTTTTAATGTCGGCTTATTCAAGTCGGTCCAGGCGAGTTTTGGACTAATAGAAAATATCTTCGAGTAAGATCATTCCCCAAGAATCCTCCAAGACCTCAATTTTTTCTCATTTGAGCCCTCTTACTCTGGCCTCATGAATGACCTAGAGAGACTTTTATATCTGCTACACCCTGAAGAACGTTAAGAGACAGTTTGGGTCAGACTGTGTGAGACTATTTATAATAATGATAATGTTTTTAAGTCAAGAGAAGAATTATGGACTCGAGGCATATCTACTATTTCAACAGTTTTATCAATACCTAGTTCAGGTTTATACAAATTGTAGTATAAAAACTTCTAGTTGATACAAATGATATACCTTTGGCAAAATTTTCCGCTGTGTTAATTTGTCGCCTTAGAGGCATGACTTATTACCTTTACAGAGCACTTGATGTATCTGTGCAACTGGGTTTGCCAGCTTGGCTTCCCTTTTCGAAGAGCCCTCATAATAATAATTTGATGTTTAAGTTTATCAATTAGGCATCCCAAAAACTCTATAGAGTTCACAGACATGTTTATTTGACATTTGGGTTTGCTAACCCGGCATATCATTTGGAGTAACCCTTCCCTCCTTTCTTACACGTCCTGTACCTGTGCTTTCGTAATATTGTTTTCAATGTAATGTTAAACCACTCTTCCTACCCTACACGACTACAGTTTATTTACTGTATGTTTATATTATCACGCTTAACACCCGGTTATTCATATATTTCGAACAACTCAAACCACGACTTTAAGAATACACTCCTACAATAGGTATACCATAACAAATCAACGTATTTGTATGTTTATTATTGGGCTCAAAACTGACCGTTAACTATCCCCTCACATACACCTCTATTGTCTCTATTGTAAGTTAAACATGAAATGGACACAGCTATGACACGGGTCCTTCAAGATGGCTAGAGAACTGTAAACCCTGTTATAGTTTGAACGAGTCAAATTATCCATTAACAGTAAGTTTCTTGTTATGTTTTTAATTTCTGAAATTTTGCTTTATAAAATTTATGATGTATATTGTCTGTTTGGATTTGTTTAATTTACGATCGACAGCACAGGCGACCTTAAGATAATATACATATTGTAACATTATTTTGCCAATACAAGATCCGTATACATCGGTATAGTTGTTATTGTGACAATCTGCTAGCTAGTTGGATTTAATAGTTTGGTATGATCCTGTATGGTCAGAGTGGGACCAAAGTATCGTGTCTATATAACGACAGTTATCAGTAGTCAGAATGGGACTAGAACATACCAAACTATCGTGTCCATTTAACTAGCATGGTACAAGGACAGTTATCTGTGGTCAGAATGGGACTAGAGTATACCAAACTATCTTGCCCAACAAGCTAACTGATATCACAGACTAGGTAGTTGTTGGTGGATGACAAGTTAACGTTCTCTTCCAGCTAACTGATATCACACACTAGGTAGTTGTTGGTGGATGACAAGTTAACGTTCTCTTCCAGCTAACTGATATCACAAACTAGGTAGTTGTTGGTGGATGACAAGTTAACGTTCTCTTCCAGCTAACTGATATTACAGACTAGGTAGTTGTTGGTGGATGACAAGTTAACGTTCTCTTCCAGCTAACTGATATCGCACACTAGGTAGTTGTTGATGGATGACAAGTTAACGTTCTCTTCCAGCTAACTGATATTACAGACTAGGTAGTTGTTGGTAGATGACAAGTTAACGTCTGCTGTCAGCCAAATGATATCAAAGACTCGGTAGTTGTTGGTAGAAGACAAGTTAACGTCTGCTGCCAGCCAAATGATATCACAGACTCGGTAGTTGTTAGTAGGCCTAGATGACGAGTTAACGTTCACTTCCAGCTAACTGATATCGCAGACTAGGTAGTTGTTGGTAGATGTCAAGTTAACGTTCACTTCCAGCTAACTGATATCGTAAACTAGGTAGTTGTTGGTGAAGTCGTAGTAGTTGGTAAACTATAGTTGGATCCGGATCAATTTGATGATCTGGTAGTTGAAAGGTTAGTATGATATCGATGTCTGTTTAACGCCTTTCTCTCATATCATGTTTGGTTTATCTATAAGTATCTTTAGTTGATTTATTTATAGGTCTTTCTGCTTGAAGTAATTAAAAAGTAGACTTTGGATCGAAATATTACTTTCGAGTCAATAAAAATGTCATTAGTTGATAATTACTTGTACAAGGCTTCTATAAAACAATAAATCATATGCATTACAATGATATTTCACAAACAGATCTCGAATATCTTGAAAGATCTAGTAAGGGTCGGTTTTACAGATTAAAGATTTACCAAGATCGATTAGACCTGCCGCACTTGCAAGTGTCAATTACATTTTATATGGTTTTAGTCAGCAGAATCTCTAAAGAGTTCTCAATCAAGAGAAGATTTGAGTGGGAGCGATCTGTAGCGTGCGCAGAGCGAGATGCCTCTCCGACCTACATCACTGAGAGGGGAAAACGGGGTTCTAATATAGACCTATCTACGAGATATTCTATAGGGAAAACAGTGAGGCTAATCGGGCTTCTGATTTTGTATTCTAAACCTCACTTTGCACTCCAGGACAACAACTATGTTCTTTTCCTTGCCAGTACTAATAGAGGTCCCAGTCATTGGATCCAATGCTGTCATAACGGAAAACTGGGGGTCTTCTTGAAACTACGAACATAAGATGACGACCAGATCCAAAATTTGCTGGGAAGTGGAACATCTGATGGCAACTGTGACTTTTCGGCCATCGATCTTCCAGAGCACCAAATTCTTTGATTGAACTGATTCTTCCAGGAACTCCCAGCAACTCGCAGATTCTGTCACGGTCGACCCGAGAACCACCGGAACACTTGCTTCAGTGACATGGTGTATGAAAGGGGGGGGGGGGGGGGGGGCAAGATTAAAAGATTATCAAGTAAATAAACATGATGAGATATCATGCTGTACAATAATCACGTTTCGTTTACAAGATAAATCTCTTATTTATGGTTCAATTTCAAATTTTTATGACATCATTTAGATAACACGGCTTATATACTGTTTTAAAATATAGAGTCACAAAGTAGGTGTCGTCAAAACACTTGGTCATCCGCCGACAATATACCCTGTAGTAACTCACAGAACAATTACATTGACGACTCGCCTCTTCAACACTCCGCTATAAAGTTTAACGGTTAAGGACTGAATGAACAAAAATTTTCCGTAAGCAGTATTCCTGATTATAGATCTTATCAACAAGACGAATGATTTCTGGTACCCCAGGTTCCAAGCAGAGGATAAAGTGCAAGATAAAAAGAAGAAAGTGATATTCCTCCAGCTCCAAATATGATGAACTATGGCTTTAAGACAGTGATTAGTTTAGAATATGCAGACTCTGTTTTTGTATTAGCACGATATATCTTAAAATGTATTGATGTGCTGGAAATCTTTGAGATAGTCTTCGCGATGAAATGACCCATTACCTCGATTGTACGATAGATTTATAAAATAGCTCACCTGCTAACGTAATTCAGTCATTAAATTAGGGTTTGGTTTTTAATTCGGTTGTCTTGAGAAAGGATTTAATACTAAAACTCTTAATGGCGAGATGGAACTTAATATGGTAAGATAATTCCAGTTCCATTTACAGTTAGTGAAGTCTTCATACATGTGTCTTGAACGTATATTATAACAAGTATGGAATGCCCGTTCCTCTATAACACTTGGAAAACTCACCGACTATGTTCGTCAACTCGGCATCCCTTTCAGTGAGTCCTTTTCCAATACTTATTGTTCGAAAGTTATATTTTTTGAATGGTATTTCAGTATGGGATTAGGCTTTTCAGGAACATCAACACACCTGGCAATAATAGCTACAATAGATCAATTTGGATTGAATACCAAGTACAATAGTGTCTACTTTTTAATTTCAGGAAAACGACTACGTCGACAAAATCATGCTGAAGTTTTTGAAAGAAAACAGTAAATTGGCGGGAAAAAATGAAAGAATAACCGTCTGGTCACAGTCTACAAATTACCCAGGAGCCCTCGGGATTCATAGTGAAAATAGTCGTGTAGCAGCTGCCAGGAACAGCACAGCCGATCAGTCTTTAAAGAACACTGTGTCTGCCATGGAATCTATTCATAAGAAAGAAATCAAGTCCATAGACTTTTCTAAAAGAAACGTTGAAGATTCTATGGTCGCCTACAGTCAGAAGATGAGGCGAATCTCTTCTGATAAATATTTCGACCGGATTAAAATCCAGAATGATCTAGAAAATTCTAAAAAATGGACAAATATGTCGAAACTTTACGAAGAGGCCATTAGAAACGCAACACCGGAAGTTAAATATACGTTGCCAATCGATCGAGGAAGGAGTGTCTCACTCTCTCAACCGAAAGTTCCGAAAGCGAATTCCAGGAAAATAAGTTCTCAGGAACAGACAAAACCTCAACTGATCGACGAATCGACAGGCGCGAAAGACAATAAACTTAGCAAACGATCTCGTAGAGCCGGAACAATAGATGCGCCTGAAATCATTGTGACCGACACGGAAAAATTACCTCCTATCACAGACAAATTACCTGCCCTTGAACACAAATTATCTCCCTCTAAAGATGAATTGTCTGCCCCTGAGGACAAGTTATCAGCCCCTGATGATAAACCGCAGAAAGACTTCACTGACAATGATACAAGCCGACATCATCAGATGGATAGAACTGAATCTCCAAGGACTGATAGCTGTGTAGTTATCGCCCCTTATCCAGATTTCGACAAACTCACAGAAGGTGAAAACATGGATGCCAAAACAGCAAAAAAGACAACCAAAAAGAAAAAAGGAAAAAAGACAGTCAAAAAGAAAACTCCAAGAATATCAATTACAGAAGAAAAACCTGACGACGCGGAATCTTGCCAAATACCTTCTCCGTCGAAAACCAAAACACAACAGCAACCAGTTGACGAAGGTGGTATAGAAAAAGCCTCTTCGTCAAGAAAAGTGTCCATGAGCAAGAAAACAAAGGATCAGAATATCGAATGCCATGACGTGTCACCAAGAGGCTTTAATCCTCACAGACGAAGAAGTTTGTCGATGCCGACCTCACCCAGGCCAAACGTGAAGCATAAATCATTGGTGGATTGCAACGGAAATGAGATAGTGCTCAAATCTGTTTTACGTCATCGCAAAACTAGTGACATCACATATTTAGTGCGCAAGTCTGTTCAGTTTCAACTTCCGGACATAGACAAACATGAGTTTGAGTCGTATACTGATGTAAAATGTGAACAATCGCCGAATACTGTGATAATAGTACGTGATTACTGAATCAGTTTGAATAAATTCATATCTTACTTATTACAAAACGTAGCCTAAATCTGACGGTGGGGCTCGAAAACAAGTCGTGGTTTCATCCATCCATTCTGGTGTTATTTGTGGAAAGATTTCTGTCTTAATGTTTGCATATGGCGAGGGTGGGGGATAAAGCTTTTACTTTCACCATTGGGGTGTCTAATTGGAACTTGATGCTAAATAGCTTGTCTGTTGTCTGCTGTCATATTTTCTATGAAAAATCGGAAGAAATGGGTATAACAATACTTTATTCGTTAAACTCAACATTATCTGCTCTGTCATTTAAAAATATCAGTCGCTTGGCTTTCTTGCCACCAGGCGTTCGAGCTTTAGGTTGCCCTAATTGTCTAGCATGGTTATCATATTGCTTGTTGGATAAACGGGGCGACTGCTTGAAGTTTAAGGTTATCTCCCCTGGATGAACTAACTCTACACCCAGCTTGTCTCGGAGTGAGCCAGTCGGTATGTGGAGATCAATGCTCCCCATTAGTCGAGCTGTGTCATGATTCAACATAGAGCTTCTGGACTGTAGTCGCACACTGGAAATGGTCTGGGTATTGGAGCCACTGTCGGACATTAGAGTCGGGCTAGTACTGCTGTCGCATTCTGGAATACTGTCTAAAAACGATCCATGGAGTTCCATTCTTTTCGCGCGATTTGGTCGTCTGATACGAGTTATGTGCCCGCGTCGTGGCGAATATTTATACACTTGTTTCTTAAAGTCGTCTGTTTTAATTGGCGGTAAAACGTTCGTTCGTAAATAGTCTGCTACCTTCGTTTTAGAAATAGTCTCGGTCATGGTAGCCTGATCGACGAATTTATTGGGTTTTCTGATTTTATACCCCACAATATCATGATCATCACTGGCGCTCGCCACGTTAATTTCCGGTATAACTTTATCACGCGGTGTCCTCGTGATATTACCCGGAAGTGAAAAACCAGGTGATACAGAACGATTTACGTCATCACCATCTAATGACCTTGTCTTCCTTCCGCTTATCTGTTTCAAGGTCACTGCCGGCTTCTTCTGTGAATATTTCGGAAGTGAGTGGCTTATTTTTGGAATGTGTTTGGCCTTGACTTGTAAAGCGTCCCCTAAATTAGCGTACTGACGTCGTTCACGAGCTTCGCGGAAGTGTTTCAACTTTTCAGAATACGCGAGCATTGAGTTCTGTCCGCCACGTGGGGATATTCGAGACAGGTTGATATTGAAGCCTTTACTAGGGGCAGACATGTTGGATTTCGATACAGTACTACTTCCGGTTTGAGTGTTTACTGCTGCCATCACCTCCATCTTAAAATTGTTGATCTTGTGAAAGAAGTTTGCAATTTAATCTTCATTTCCATGGTCTGAAAATATAAAAGAATACGAAATTAATATGATAATTATGCACTCTATAAGATATAGGGAATACAGAGGCTGTCCTTGTATCGGTACCATTTACAAACCTAAGTCTTATTTGTATCATTCCAATTTTCCGCCAAATGTTTGAGGTTCTTGTAATAATAGAAAGTTGTTTATGAACCTAATGACATTACGTCATAAAACGCTAAGTTTTAGTGGAATTTAAAAAAAAAGTCTTTACAATCCCTTTAAATCGTGGTTAACATGCCTGTGGGTGGATCCAAGAACCTGTTTGTGTCCAAACTTGACGTCTGCAGTAAATCAGGAGAGAGATTAAAGGGAGGTAATCCAATAATCAATATATGTCAATACTGTAATATCGTAATATCTCAAGCCTATTGTTTATTAACACTGATCAATCACTGATTATCGATTTGATCAGTTTTAAACTTACTTTAAATTTCAATATGTACGATACAGTAGGCTATATATTATACAGTGTGTACAGAACCCGATTGTCTTCATGCCATTATTTTAAACCACGTTACTTGATTTTTACAAGAAAGAGTTCAAGTGGGTAGACCTTTTATAGAAAATTATCTCATTCAATTATTCATTTGTTATAGAGAATGATCTCATTCAAAAATCACTGGCTTACTGCAGAAGTTGAAAAAAATAGTAGTGCATTACGGGGTCGTGAAGTAATTAAACCTAGTACTAAAAAAATGAATCAGCAGTACAAAAATCGAAGTGTTTGTACTTTCATGTAGTAAAACAATGTCAATTCCTCGGGGAACAATAAGATTACAGAAACAATGATGAAAAAGTTTCAATATTTAATGGCGATAATTTGAAGACAATATCCAGCCTAATTCTAATAGGTTTTTTTTACACTTGTTATGTTTGTTTCCAAGTTTCTGATATCAATTTTTGATTGTTTTTGAAACGTTTTAATATTATTTATAATAACATTTCACTACGTCATAAGAACTAAATAACTTGACAATGTTTGATTGTTTAGGCCTTGCAAAACCATTTCTTAACAAAATAGAAACGATATTTAATCTTTGTATATGTACAGACTTTTATTTGCACCATTCCAATTTTACATCTATGATTCCTGTCATTTCAGAAATAATATTTCACGATATTAAGACATAAACTATTAAAAACTGAATAATATTGTCTAAGCACAGTTACCATTTAATAGACTCAATACGGTCGGTCCGTTTGGAATTCTAAGAGGTATAGTATCGCTTTAAAGAGTTGGGATTTGATGTGAGGTTTCTATACAGTGTGTTTGTTCTATGTTTTCTATTAAAGGTGCTCTCACACCATAACAATCACCAGATATGTATGGTTACGAAAAAGTATAGCAGTCATCGTTTCGAACACTGAGGCCACTTTCATTATTCACAACCATACGCAACTGTTGATCGGTTGGGAGTGAAAGTCCCTTTAATAAAGATATCACCCTACTGATTACAGTGAATTATTAATATCGTCTCTTACTAGTTTCTGCTGATACCATCTTATTCTACAGTGATATTTCCTTACAAACTCGGTACAATCTGATCTGGTATTCAACAAAACTCGGTGAACTTTATAAAAACAGAGATTCCCTTGGAAGATAAGTAAGCATACCAGATTAAACCTATAAATAATTGATGGTTAAATTGACATTTATATTTGATGTTTTGTTAAAGATTTAAAAATATGCAGTTGATTGGTTGCTTTGCCTTTGCCTTCGTAATAGAACTGTTTAGACAAATAGAATTATATTTTGTAATTAAAATAGAACTATTTTGTAAGTCAAAAAAGAACTATTTTGTAATTGAAATAGAACTATTTTGTAAGTCAAAAAGAACTATTTCGTAAGTTAAATAGAACTAATTTGTAAGTCAAATAGAATCATTTTGTAAGTCAAATAGAATCATTTTTTTAATTCAAATAGAACTAATTTGTAAGTCAAAAGAACTATTTTGTCATTCAAATAGAACCAACATGTAATTCAAATAAAAACTATTTTGTATCAAATAGAACTATTTTGTAATTCAAATAAAAAATATTTTGTAAGTCAAATAGAACCAACGTGTAATTCAAATAGAACCATCTTGTAATTCAAATAAAAACTATTTTGTAATTCAAATAGAACTTTAATTTATAGATATTTTAAAGAAAAGGGGAGGGGGGGGATATTTTTAACGGTAATAATGTGTAGGTGAAGCAACTTCTCAAAGTTATTAACGTAAGCAAACTTTTACTAATATCCTAATCACCATATCAAATTTCTAAAAGGTCTGTACGTCAAGTGAGATCTGGTGAAATGAATAAGGGGTATCCTAACAACGACATGATTAGTCTTAACCCTGGGTCTTGATTAACCAACAATTACATACTTCATAAACCACGCCCATATTTACATTTCAATGGTGATTTGTGGACTACCATTGATATGATTGAAATAAATTGAGTTTTGCGCCTGCTTTGGCAAATGAGGGTGGACAAAGTCATACAGTGTTCAATGCCGGAATTTTGCCAAAGTAGACATTGTTAGAGCTCTATCAGCGGGTTAAATATATTTCTAAAATACCAAGCTTATACAGATAGCTGAAATTGAGCTCTATCAGCTGCAAATATTCAGATGACAATACAGATAGCTGAAATTGAGCTCTATCGGCTGCAAATATTCAGATGACAATGTAGATAGCTGAAATTGAGCTTTATCAGCTGCAAATATTCAGATGGCTATACAGATAGCTGAAATTGAGCTCTATCAGCTGCAAATATTCAGATGGCTATACAGATAATTGAAATTAAGCTCTATCAGCTGCAAATATTCAAATGACTATACAGATAGCTGAAATTGAGCTCTATCAGCTGCAAATATTCAGATGACTATACAGATAGCTGAAATTGAGCTCTATCAGCAGGTAGAGTAAATATTTAGATGACTATACAGATAGCTGAAATTGGGCTCTATCTATTGAATGTGAAATCTCAAGATTTTAAACTAGATTTGAGATTAGCGGATTAATGTATTATCGGATTATCTAGTAAAATACCTAACATAATCTCAAAACACGAAATCTTTTATAAAATGAATGAATGAATGAATGAATGAATGAATGAATGAATGAATGAATGAATGAATGAACTAATGGACGAAACGAACGATCCAACGAACAAATAACCGAACGAATAAACGAACAAATGAATGAATGAAATATTACCTCGCCACAAATCAGGAGTAGTCTTCAAGGAAATTGCAGAAAGTTTCAATCCAGATCAGACGTTAACTTGTATTCTTATTCTTGTACGATCCAGAGACAATATAGGTATTGTTATACCTTGCTATTGACGTGTAATTCTTTTTAAAACACAATAATGTCATTCAGTAGACCTGTAATACGTGCAGTTTTCCGCTCTATTGTCCTGCACCAATCGACGATACTATATTACTCTAGAATTGAAAGTTGAAATAAAATGAGATTTCACTGTGGTAGCCTAAATGTCACAAGGAGTAAACAGACATGAACCTAGCCACGATTCAATTAAAGTTCAAAATTGAAAAATCAGTGCGGTAGAAACGACATGAATCCTAAAGAAATCCCGGGGTCATTCAAGTAAAGAAAATCAATGAATTTTCACTTAAGTTTTTGTTGTATACTGGTCTCGAATATGTTTGAACCACTTGCGCTTACAGAACGGCACTCTTCATTAATAGTCCAATTAGCTTTGAGAAAGAAGGTTCATCACAAAATCTAAATATCCAACAACAACAACAAATGTAGTTTTACATCTTATAGTAACAGTCCAGCACCGATACAATCTTTGAAAAAATCCGTTTGAATTCACTAGAAATTAGACTGTAAAATTGTCCAAGCTTGAACTTCGGGTATTGAGAGAGTAATGGATTCAATCAATCCCTGTTACGTTCTCTGTCGCACGATTTAAATAAAAGCACAGCTTAGAAATCACACAGAGACCCACCACGATACTACAAGTAAACAAACGACAATATAAGATATTTTTTACCTCTTGTATCGATTAGGGCGGTCTTTACGTTAAGCCCTATAGAAGCCGGTTAATATGGTTCATGTCAAGTTTGATATAACATTAGAGTAAGTTATTAGCGGGCATTATCAACCCGGGCTATATCAGACAGGGCATTATAAAAGAAGTTATTCTATTATTCTCTAATCTCTTGATATACACGAGGCTTTATGTTTAGGCCTATAAATTGATTTTGATCGACATCCAGAGATTTAGTTAAAGGGACCGAAGAAAGTGATTTGATTTTGCAACTGAAATCAAGTCAAGACAGATTAATTTGTTTTTAAAATTCGGAGACTCTGGGCAAGGATCATTTGCTTTTTAATGGAAATCTGCCATTTTATAATGACTCTAAATAGAATCGTAGGCTGTACACTATATAGTTTAATGTCTAATTCTATGATTTAGTCGGCCTTAGGACTTTGACTTGAGGACTACGGTTTGGATCGATTTCATTTTCAAAACGTCATAAGATTAAGAGTGTTGAAAACTTGACACCCCTTTCGGAAATTCTGCCAAATCATTTCCATTGCCTAGGATGTAAAAATTCATATAGGCTATGTATTAAGTAAGTATTATAGGTTAATAAGTCAATTTTAATTTTATTATTCAAAATTATATGGCTCACAAAGAAAAAAATGTTATTTCATAAAAATATCAGACTGGCTACATTCTTTTGAATAAAATATTTTCCACCAGCCATAATTCCTCACTAACAAGCCCTTTACATTTACACAATTCTAAAACCACTTATATAAGCAAATTAATATTTTGAGAGTTTTACGGGTAAAGGGAGAAAACTCCAGTTTACAGTCTGGCTGACAACCTACTAACAAATGTTTTGATTAGTTTAAAGTCTGACTGTTCAACCAATCAAAACCTTTCTTACTCCATAGAGGTCAAAGGTTACAAGTATGGCGCCAAATAAGATGTGATCAAGAAGCGGTAATTCGCCACATTTCTTTTATGTCTACAAGTAAATAAATAATCGATTGTTTTTGTTACAGATTGTATGATTGGTAAGTTCGCTTGTCGCCCATTATCGATAGTATTTTAACTCTGTTAACGCCCATGTCCATGTTTTTTTTGTTATGTTTGATGCCAAGTCAAGTGATGAAGCATTCCGTTACTTTGCCAAATTTTACAGTTACAACTTTCACTGAACTCTTCTTACTTACTCCTTAGTCTTACTAATAGAAATTTTTAGATAAATACCTTGATACATGAATTTTGTCAGTAAGTATTATACTATGCAAGTGCCAATGGCAGAAACTTAGAAATCCCTTCACTTCACCCCCTGTAAAAATGGGATCAAAGTAAGCCAAAAATCAATTTTTTTTTCTAGGATTGTTTTATTTTTGTAAAGTTTAAGAATAATATAATTTATTACCATGGCAACTGATATAACAACGAAGAAAAGGAGATGGCAGTCAACAGAAGGAGGGAAAAGAAGGTACAAATTCTTAATCATACTTAATGTTAGCCAACCCATCATTCTAATTCAGGAAAATAAACAAAGGCCTGTCATGTGTCCTACAGGCTGTTCATTTAAAGCGGTTGTGAAAAGAAAATCTGTTTTATGCATTGCAACCATATATAAGCCTACACATAAAATTAAAATATCTCTTTTAATGGTTATGATTTTTATATTTAGTCGATTTGGTGATGAAAATTCTCCCAGGAAAAGAAGAAGAGTGAAAACAGTAGAATCTCCAAATTCTTCCCCTTCCAAAAGTCCATTCGTTACAGACTCAGACGAAGCCCCGACTTTTAGAACAAAATCATTCTACAGGTCAAAAGGTCAGACTAAATTTGCTTCAATGCCTGGTGTTGCTAATGAGACTTTGTCCACATCACCAAGGAAGAAATTAACGCCACGACGTAGAGCTAGTAGTAGGCTGAAGTCTGTGGCCAGGTCTGGAAGTGAAACAGAAAGTTCTAGCAGCGTATGTGAATTACCTTACCCCATGTCTGTGGTTCGTAAGGGAAAATTGAAAAGTATGACAAGCGCAGATAGTGACTCAGAAACAAATATCGAGAAAGTTTTACGGATACGCAACAGTCAGAATGAAAATGTTAAAAAATCGGAAGAGTACGACTTTCCAAGCGTCAAACCAGTGCAAAAAAAAGTTGAACTGAAAATGACTAGAGGTGGAATATCCCAAAATAATGTTTCAAAAACAATTTCTCCTGCGAATAAAAATGTAGAAAATAAAACGTATACACCTCCACTGAAGAAAAATTCAGTAAAGAAACTTTTGAAAGCAAAATGTCCGTCCTCGGCACCTAAAAATCTTGGTCGTGTGATCGTTCATAAAGGATTTGATTTGAAATTTGTTCCTAGGAGAATCAGTGATGAGTTCGCAGACAAGAAGAAGAAAACCCCAAACTCTGATAAATTAGAATTCATGAAACAAAGACTAGAAGCCAGATTAAAATCTAAAAAAACTGACAATTCTCCAAAAAGTGCTAAAAAGACAATAGTTAAAGATTCTGAAATTTCAAAAGATTTGAACTTACAACTCCCAGAATTCCAAGATTCGGCAATTGTAATAAATGAATCTTGTGAAGCCTCCCTACCCTCACCAAGTGAACTTACGGCTAAAACGCCTATTCCTACTAAAGAGAGTATATCTTTATCCGGTTCGCAAGATTTATATTCCAATGCCATGTCAGAAACCTCGGAAACAAATTCATACGCATCTGGCCCATCACAAAGAAGCACTAGAACTAGTCCACGTAAGAAATTAGTACCTGCTAGTCCAGCACGAAACAGTTCTCACTTTGAAAATGTAGACTACTTCAGTGGTCCAAGTCAAAGAAGTCCTGTGAAACAAAATAAAACTGCAGAATATCTTAGTAGCCCTTCACATAGAAGCCCAAGACGGCTGCGAGATCCTGAAGGAATAAGCAGCCCAATTTATAATGTTGAAAGCCCATCTCGGAGAAGCTTAAGAATTGAAAATATGTCCAGTCCATCTAGAAATGTTACAGAAGTATGTAATAGCCCGAAACCTGCATCAAAAAGGGTTTTAGAGTTACAATATTCAAGTCCATCCAAGAAAGGATCAAGCCCTAAGATGCCATCAAGTTCAAATAAAAGCCCTGTGAAAGCAAGCCCTGTGAATTCAAGCCCAGTGAAAGCGAGCCCAGTAAAGTCTAACCCAGTAAAGAAGAATGATAAACCGTTGTTTTCTATTTTTAATACTACACCATATCAAAGGAAATCTTTGAGGAATTTGGCTCAAAAAAGGTAAGACACACTTGCTATATCATAAAATTTATGTAAAAAAGAAGCAGATATTTTATATAAGAATTAAACTATCGGTCACAAGCAACCTTTCTACCAGCAGGTCATTATAATGTTAATATATTTTCAGCTCATCTATTGCAAGTGTTTCACCAAGATCCAGCCCGAAAGTTTCACCCAATATGAAGAAATTTCTAAAAGATAAAAATATAGGAGTTGAACAGATGATGTTGGTAAGATTTTTTTATCAGGGCTTTTCAAGTACCTAGACAGATATATTTGCTAATCATGACCACGAGCAGTCGACTTTATTTTTTTTTATTAATATATAGTATTAAATTAAATTGATAACAGACTAGACTTATATTATGTTGATTATTTAATAAGGTCATTTTCCATTTAATTATCGACTATTGATATGATGTTGCAGGATGCTGGTCAGAAGAAGTTTGGCGCTACCGTCTGTGATGTTTGTGGAATGGTGTATACGCATGCTGACCCTATAGATGAAACAACTCATGCTAAGTTTCATGCCAATTTACTAAATACCCTCAAATTCCCTGTAAGTATATCTATTTTAAACTTCTGATTTCATCACCTTTATGTAGAGTCTCTTCAACTTGTGTTCTACACTTCATGATAAAATAGAAATTCTGTAAACAGCTCCTGTGTTCATTTGTGTAAGAAATAGTAGAAGCCCATCTTGTCCAAACCAGACACAGTACGTATGAGTGTTGTATATTTGTAGCTTGATATTTTGATATTTATCATACAACAGGGTTGGAAGAAAGAACGTATTGTTGAAGAGTTTATAGAAGATGGCAGTAAAATAGTAATGGTTTTAAATGATGACCCTAAATACGCTACTAGAAAGGTTCGTTTAGTATATTTATCATAAATCAGAAATAAACCTGCTTTGGCCTGTCAAAGCTTGTCACATGACAAAACAGTTTTGGTGGTGTCAGAATTTTGACCAATGTTTGTTGTGTTTATTTTAGATTAGTGAGATTAATAAGATAATGGGACAGGAACTGGGATTTCCTGATATTAATTTATCTTTTACCTCAAATTATAAGGTATGTATCATTTAATATCTCTTGATTTAATATCTCTTGATTTAATATCTCAGGTTTTCTTCTGTCAGTGATGCCAGGATGGTGAGCCACCAATGGAAAAAAATCTCTACTTTCAGAAAGGGAGAATAAACCTATTGTGTTTCAGAGTGCTCATGTAAAACATTTGGTATGAAAACATAATAGGGAATTGCTACTGTCTTTGCAAAATTTCCCTCATTAGCTCAATCAGGAGCAGAATAGTATGACTATAGCCTCAACTAATTTGGAAGTTAATATCTTCCAACTTTGTATTGTTGTTACAGGGTTTTCTGTATATATCAGAAGATAAGAATATAGAAGGATGCTGTATTGCGGAGAGTATACAAGAGGTTGGTTTATATTGTATTTCTGTATTGTAAGATATTCTTACAGTGAATGGTACTTTGTTATCAGAGCAGCAAGAGCCAAAAAGAACCCAGGCATTCTGGTACAGGATTGCAAAACTCTTATTTCAATTTGGCTGGGTAGGGTTTAGTACAATGGAGGTCATTTATTTCTAAAACATGATTTACATAATCAGAATTGCACAAGAATTGCTAATTTCATAAAAAAAAAAAAATTGGTATGCTTTCAGGGATACCGTGTAATAGCTGACCCTACCAGTAAATCTCCCAGTAAAAATAGTGAAACTCAACAGAGACCATGGTACTGTGATACAGAGCCAGAGAGAGCTAGTATTGGTATCAGTAAAATCTGGGTTTATAAACAATCGCGACAGAAAGGAATCGCCTCTCGATTGCTTGACACTATCAGGTGAATATTTTACTTTCTGTTGAATCTAATATTTTCAGTGTTGGGTGAGATCTTTATTGTTTTCCATTTAATCCATTGGAATTCATATTCTACAGAGGTTAACGCTCTGTAAACTATAGATGTCTTCATTAGCCCACATGGTGCAGAAAAGTAAGACGTAAAACTCCCCATTTATTTCATTTCATTTCTGTAAAATATATAAAATTTCACTGATATATACCTTGATAATACATGTAGATATATTTTCTATATTTCAGGACGTGTTTCCATTATGGTGGTGTTGTAGAAAGAAATGAATTAGCATTCTCCGACCCTACCCCCGATGGGAAGAAATTCGCTACTAAATATACAGGGGCACCATCCTTTCTGGTTTATAGATATATTCGATGATTTTGGCAAGTCATGTACAGATCGTAACTTCCATGTTGTAAAGTTTGATGAGAGGTGTTATCAAAGTGTGATGATGAGAATTGATGATGATGAGTATTGCCTGTTACTATTTGGGCTATACAAGACAGAAAAGTATAGGCCATGCAGTGTGCAATGTCCAAATGGCCTTCCTGTGAAGGTGGGGTGTTAAGCTTCTCTCCATTTAAAACAGACGTTTCCCTGAAACATTAGAGTTTTTACTCCTATAAGAAATAGTGCTATGTATAATCATATAATATATAATTGTATTTGTGTATAATTCAGTTTTAAATATAACTAGTTTGTTTTAAACAATAATAACTGGACAATGGTCTTATATCCATGATAGTGAACATTTTCAATGATATAACACAGTTTAGTTTTAAAGAAAAAATAAACTAAGCTATAGTAACCATGTATAGCCTGTAATAATTATTTACTAGACTTGTCTTTTATTCAAACAGAACATCACTGCTCATCTTCACAATGTCAAGCTATTACGAAATACGTACTTATACCTTGACTTCATCAGGTAAGTTTCTGGCATCAGAGGGAAATTTTATTAGATTAGATCAATGTGATATTATTTATTCCACACTTTAAAACAAAATACAATTTGAACATACAAATATACAATTATTTTACATTTACATTGAGTAAGGTTTTAGTCAAGAAATATTTAAGCACATTAGTGGGGGCAAAATGGTTTTGTTGGTCGGTAGTTAAATTTTCGCTTGCAGCAGATGCTGATATGGCCCACTAGGTAGTTGTTGACAAGTTAATGTTCGCTTCTAGCAGATGCCGATATCTCACACTAGGTAGTTGTTGACAAGTTAATGTTCGCTTCCAGCAGATGCTGATATCGCAGACTAAGTTGTTTGACGTTAACTTGTCATTTACCTACTGACATCTAAGTCATAAGCTCTAAAAATTTCAATCAACAATTTAAATAGCCAATTAATTTTGTAACAGTTCATTATTCATCCCATTCATTTTAACAAATCATAAAGTGTAATACCAAAATTTGAAATATAGGTGAGAATTTCATTGAAATTTTGACTTGGAAAGTAAACTTAAATTTATGTTCATAACCTTAATGAACTGTAAATAAACACTAGCAGAACTTAACAAGATTCAGAGATGAACAAAACATAAATTATCACATTTTTTTGAAAGTTTTGTGAACAGAACCCAAATTTACATCTAGTCCAGCAAGGATACACGTCCATTGACGATTGGAAATATAAACATACCTATTGCGTTTAACTTTTACGTAGAAATAACAAAACATACACAGTTAATGTTTTAAGTTGATCAACAGAAACCTTGACTTGACTATATAGCTATAACAATAATAAAAACAACCTGAATTATAAACAAAGCACATTCACTCTCTTCTTAATTTAAACTCCACAATAACTTACTTTGTTCTGAGAATTAACAGAATATCCCTCACAGTTGTCTCTTGGTATCCAAACCTTAATTATAAATTGGTCAACTTAAACGAATTAAAATGTTGATGAGGTCGTCTGAAAGATATTAACTAATTACTAGATTCACTTCATCCCTGAACACAAACCAAGTTGGGATCATCCGAACCAATTCACAACTAGATGACTAGATATTTACTTGAGGTGAAATTTTAAAGGTCATCAGGTTTTTGTTCACTTTTTTTGAGATTCAAATTTTAATTTTTCTATTTACATTAAAACACTAGAACATGTCTATTCTCTATTATTATCATAATCATTTTAAAATTCACTGATTTCCTCCATAGAACTAACACAGTGTTGTAGATGTATCCTAATTTGACTTCGTACACGTGATGATCACCACAGAACAAACATTGTGAGGTTTTGAAATGTGACGCATGGTAGGATAAACCTGTCTCTTCTTTCTCTTGAATCATGTGATACACTGAACAGTATAAATGTCCATTTGTTGTATCCAAAATCCGACAAAAGGCTTGAGCACACCTCATAGTAAAGACAAACCAGAACAATATCACCACCTATCTTTCCTATAGTAATATCCCAAACTTATAGTTCCCGGTCACATGTTCACTCAAAATGTCTTCTTCTCTCTCCCTTCACCATCCAGCATGGATATCATCCTTCTTTCTTCTCCTTCTATCCCCTCCTCCCCCACCAAAACCACCTCCAAAATCATCAACTAGACCCCCTCCATCATTGAACCCTCCAGACCCTCCACGTCCACCCCTACCCCCTCCTCGACCACGCCCTCTAAAACCACCCCTGCCCCCACCAAATGACCCTCTCTCCTCTGCCATCCTATCACAATGTACACGATATCTGTCGGCCATGTCTTGTAGAAATTGAGGCACTTCCTGAAATAGCCAAAAATAGAGTCAAAGATTTTGTAGGATTTCCAGAAACCAAGACAAATAGATGATTGATGATTTTGATACATCGCAGAAGAACTGTGTTTCAAATTGTTATTCTGAAAAGTGTTAAAGATAGCTGGAATTGAGCTCTTATCAAATGATAGAATAAATATAATATGTTTAGATGAATATATCTTGATGTTACAAAGAGAAAATCTTTTATAAATGATAATAAGCGTAATCCAAATGTAAAACTATAATATATAAGTATATACAAGTACCTGATTAGCCTCTGCCATGATATCTATTAATTTATGGGCCTGTCTCCAATCTGATCTTGTAACCAAGGTAATAGCAGTTCCTGTATTCCTGCAATATAAGACAATATTGTCAAACATGTATTCAGGGAATGTTTAAAAATAGCTGCTTACTGAAGGAGGATACTCAATGAAAGACCAGGTTGTAGAGTGATATTTTAAATTCCCCCTAGTAGTATGATAATATAATCAGTACTGCCAAACGATATCAATATAAACTTGACCTACCCTGCCCGTCCAGTACGTCCAATACGATGTACATACTCTTCAATATTTCTCGGGAAGTCATAGTTAAACACATAACTGAAATATAGAAATCACAACCTTGATACAGATTGTCCATTTTGATATGGAATTCCAAAAGCTATTTATGAATGCTTAGCTTCACCTTGGATTGTTCATACACATTTCTTTATAGAACATATGATTTTCATGTTTCCATGCTTTGAAAACGTCCATGAAAGAATCCCAAGAATACCAGATTGTTGCTGATAACATGTATAACAATATGTTAAAAGCGTCATCAAAGCAACTAAGGCACATTTATCAACTTTGCAGTTTAAACATGCTTTTCTAAATAGGACATTACACAATAACTCATTTTTATCTTTTACTTTCAAGATCTATTTTCAAGATCAAATGCACGCCAAAGACTTACGTTATGTCAGGAACATCCAGTCCTCTAGACGCTACGTCTGTGGCTATCAAAATACGAACTACAGAATTTTTAAAATCTTTTAAAGCTTGTTCTCTATCACATTGTTCTCTGGAATAAAAAATCAGTAATAATATTAAAACAGGATGTGTTCTTCAGAAAGATAGCTTGTCTGGTGAGCATACACACATAGTTACTTTTTTTTTTTTACAATAAAAGTCATTTCACTTACCTATCACCATGGATACATTCCACTTCTAAACCATTCATAGCCATATCACTAGATAGATCATCTGCCCTAAAAAATTTAACAGCACTTTAATTTATCTTGTTACCTACATACAAGCACATGTTCATTCAATACAAATACTAATGAGTGCATGAGCCGTTTGTAACAGTGTACCAAGCTTTAGATTGGAGAATTCTACAAGTCCTATAAGGATTTTCTGGATATTTCCATTTAGTAAGTTTCTACTTACATGACTTTTTTACCCACAAAAACTATGGCTTTATCTTTTGGTCCCAATGAATTTATAAAATCTACTAACTGAAATCAGAATATTAAATCATTATGAAAATGGTATCCATGTTGTACAAATACAGTTATAACACATAACATATTCCGCCAATATTTGTCAAATCCTTGCCAAATTCAAATTGACCAAGATCTTGCAGATTAATCTACACACAAGTCTATAATCTTCTGACAAAAAGTCTGGTTTCATTAGCTTTCATATGACAATAGTAGATGTTCTAACAGACAGAGGCAATACAATATACATCATCATGTAAAAGAATTGAAAACTATTTAACTCTCACCATATCTTTTTTTTCTTCTGGTTCCACCAACTCTACACACTGTGTTACACTGTGACAAGCCTGAAAAATAACATCAGATAGACAGAGTTTTACAATCTATTCTTAATATTCTACTTTTCATCAGGCTGAGTTTTATACCCTACTGTTTTACATCTTTTACTGGAAAATTGAATCACATCAAGTAGAATTTTATATCAAGCAAATTGTGATCCCCCTCAATGCAAGGAGATAATACTTACAGCTAAATCTAAAGTTCCAACAAACACTTGATAAGGATCTTTCATATACATCTCAGCTAGACGTTGTACATTAGTAGGCCAGGTAGCACTGGAATTTAAATAATATATATATATATGTAGAATAGCCTGTCTGAATCAAGTTACATAAAACTTAATTAGCACATTAGCATGTGTCATTTTTACGTTTCATATCGTCAACGGATTACCATTAAATAATCCAGAGGTTAATTAACTATAGATTAGTCACTTTTGGACCTGTTTTAGATGTGGGATTGTGGTTTATAAGGGGTGGCAGTTTATTTAGGGATTTCTTCTATAAATTATATTGTGATTCGGTTGGGAGTTTTTAAATATATCGGTTTAGAGGGGATGTCAGTTTATAGGGGATACCGTTTGAAGGGGTTTCACCGTACTAACCTAGTCATAACTGTTTGTCTATCTCGTCTGATATCTATCAATATCTTCCTGATTTCTGGTTCAAATCCCATATCTAACATACGATCAGCTTCATCTAATACCTATAGATAATATCAATATTCTTTAATATAGCCCTAGATCATAAATTACCTGACACTGCAGCAAACACGGCCAGGGTTATCACCCAATACCTAATAATAAAATACTGGTTAAAGGGATTGTAAAGAGGCTCTCTAACCTTATTCTATGTATACAGTCTATTGTTTTAACAACAGAGAATAAAAGAGAAACTTACAACATAAGTTACACTTCTGACATCAATAACTTCATTCATAATTAAATCATTAAGTCGTCCGGGTGTAGCCACGATAATTTCTACTCCTTTAGTTACAGAACCAATCTGTTCTCGTCTATTTCCTCCACCGTAAACACACACACTGGAAATATAGGTCATAAGTTACGCAAGTATTAACTTGATCACAACATTGCATTGTTAACTCAATGGAAAGAATGGTTTTAATCTAAAATCTTATCAAAATTCTCCCCATTGTCTGAGTTCTCACATACTTTTTAGGTCTGAAAATTATTATCTAAGGCCTGACAATATATGTAAGAAAACAAATTTTAATTTAATTTGAAATATATCTGGAATTATTTATTTTTAGGGCATAAATTTAAAATAAGCATCTTAGAAATTTTGACCTTTCATTGTAGGACCATAATATACCTTTTGATGTCTCTGTAGTTGATTTTCTTGACTTCTGTTTCGATCTGTAGAGCTAACTCTCTGGTGGGGGCCATGATTAATACATTCGGTCCCCCTCGTTCATCTCTCGGTCTGGAAGTCAAATTAAATGGAAGTTAACATCTTGAGGTCCCGGCAGCTCTCAGACACTATCACCAGTCCTGCGACTTTGAGGTCGTTTGTGTCCACTGTTTAACATAATCTAGTGATTGGTCATATTCTCTTAAATTGCTGCAGTCGTTGCTCTCAGATTTTGACAGCTGCAAGGTCTACTTGTGCCCACCTTAGTAAAATACTAAACTTACAAGGGTTGACCGTCAATATGTAACATGGCTGGTAGTAAGAAAGCCAGTGTTTTACCAGTACCCGTTTGAGCTATACCTATTAAATCTAACCCTTGTAGTAATATCGGCCAAGCTTGACTCTATAATAAACAGTAATATGTTATTGTATAATGAAATTGGGTGATAAAATGCAAACTCTAATCAACGACTTTCAGCAAATCCTCAAATTAGCACCTTTAAGATGTGAGTTGCCAACTTTAAAAAATACAGTATTCATCCTTTTATATTCAAATGATTTTTTTTATATAAAATAAGAATTACCTGTATTGGTGAGGGTTTTACAAATCCTAGTCTTTCTATCTGGGCCAATATATCAGCTGAAAAACAAAATTCAACACTGTTAAATGAGTGACAATAACTCGGAAGAGCACAAAATTTCAACACAGTGTCAAGAAAGCAGAGCAGTGTTATATCACTTAATTCTGAATTGCAGTTTTGTAGGTATTATAAGATTAATTTCTCTGTGTCCCTCGGACAATTTCTAATTTGAGTTTTCAATAAGAAAGTGGGAATAGACCAAATACGATGTCTGGTGTGGTGTATGGTACAAGATCAGGATACAGTAGAATGAGAAGACGTCACTTCCAAACCATTCGCTTCTTCTGTTTTCTACTATATTGATAATACCACATCGGCCATTTTACCTAGCCTATTGGCTCATTAAGACAATAAGAAAGAAACTGCCTTACGATAATGTTGAAAAGCTTGTTGGAAAGTTTCTACAGGGTTTGGTACACGGTCTGGTCCATCTACTATTATATTATTATTTTCACGCCTGGAACAAATACATTTACAGACAATAGACATTATACTATCAAATCGAGTGGACAACATAGATATTCTACACAGCAGTCAAACTATGAGTGATGGGCAACGACAACCATAATCAATCACAAGGGATTGTAAAGAAGTTTTCACTACTATCAGAAAGTTAATTTAACACAATAAAAGTCTACATACACCATTTTTACATTAAATTCCTTTAACACAACAGAGCTACACACTATCTATATGACATACAATAATTCCTGACTAATCTATTATCTACCAATACTTCAACTATCGTGAGACAAGATTCCACTAAAACAAGTTGTTCACCTAATACGTTTAATATCTTCAGGGTACATATTGGCTACTTCCACATCCTCAAAATAAAAATTCTTCTTTAATTCTGGCAAATCTACAATTTAATAAACATGAAATTCTACCTTCAAGGTTCTTTATTTTAGCAAAAAGTTCTGAGACATCAGATTTTGTAACTAACAGGTTCAATTTAAGCTGTATTACATCCCAATTTATGAGTCAAATTGAAAACAATTCTGTTTTCGTGATTAATCAAGATCAAAATATACTTTTACGAATCTTTTTACAGAATTCTCTTTTCATAAACGTTACCTTTGAATTTCTCGTCTTCAAATTTAGCTGCCTCTGCCCTGATCATACCCCAGTTGATTTTAGGTGGGGCACTGGTAGCAGCAGGGGCTGGGGCAGGCGTTGATTCTGAAATATCAAATTTATAAAACAAGCTTTAAGGGCATATTTCATCACTAGAGGATCTACATGCTTTGATTGGTTAAAAATAAAGTCATTAGAACACTGCTGTGGTAGAAAACTTGTTCGATCAAATCTTACCTTGAGTAGCAGCTGATTGTTTTCCCCACCTAAACGTTCCTTTAGTATCTTTCCTCTCATAATAATCATTTCGACCTGTTGGAAAGAATGAAATGAAATTGAAAACTATTTCTAACTTGTTTGCTCCAGTTTGGGCTTGGAGATAGGCAACAATTTCAATAAAGTACCCTTGCTAGCTACACCAACCTACTCTTTCCCAATTTCCTCCTTTGAGGGATCTTTAATTAGCATGCAGTTGTATAACATAGAGTATCACTGACAGAAGGGAAACCGAAATTGTATTTCAGTAGGCAAGGATTTAATACCAGACCTTAGTGAATGTGCACCTCATCACACCTCCTATTTAATATATAGATGGGACCTGGTTTGCTCGAGTCAAACTCAATAACGCGTTATAAATTCTGTCCCAAAAGACATGAACTAATACTTCTATATGAAATTACTGTCGACTGACACATAACCTACCTCTGGATGTCATCAGCTCTTCTATAAATTCTTTCGCTTTATTTCGACATTCATCATCTCCTGTGATTAAAACCTTTGTTTCATCTTCGTGGTCTGCATCTACACCTCTTCTATTGTCAATCTGAAGAACAACATGAAATAGTATTGTAAAAACACTGTATTCAGTGATATAAGAAAGGTGGCTATTGTAGTCAAGGTATTAGTTATTTTTAGCTTGACAGTGTATAATATCAGTAGATATGTAGAGTGAGTTCCTACCTTAATACGAGCTCCACTGTTCTCCTCCAATTCTCTGATCTTTGATCCTCCTTTGCCTACAAACAAAATCATAAAAACAAAGTTTAGCCTCAGTGCATATCCACCTTGCCTGGTACCCTGGCAGAGCCATTAAAAGTGAAGACTACTAATTGTATCTCTTATTACATTTAGGCAGGACTGCATAGTTCATGGGAAGGCTAATTCTTATCAAGTTTAGGCTTTTAAAAAGGGAGCTTGAGACTGAGAGTGAGTAGGGCCGAATCTTATTCCTAGCCCAACTAATCTCCAGCAAGCAAGCTAAGTTTCCTTACGATGCTGTAAAAATGTAGGCCTATGACCATGTATGGGGTTGAACTCACGAAGTCTGTCTAATATAGGTGGCATTGCTCTTTTAATGGAAGTGAAAGTAAAAGAAGAAAAACCAAAGATAAGCTTGCACTCCTCGGCAGAAAATGGTACCACACCTATTATTTTGCCCACTTTATCTGAGGGGACATACATATCTTCAGTGATCCCCCGGCTCTCTCCGCCATAACCATTCTGTTGACCTCTGTTTTCACGATAATTGCGACCTCCACCAAACGAACCCTCACTGGAATTCCGATTGTCATTCTGTCTGTCATTTCTGCTAAAGCCACGACCAAAACCTCGACTTCCAAATCCTTCAGAATTCCCATTTTCTGTGTTGTCATTTTCACTATTTCGGTCGGAAAATCCATCCCTCCCTCTGCCCCCAAATCCCCCCCGTGCCCTGTAAGAAAAACCCCTTCCACCTCTTCTGAATTCCATTTTCCCGCGAGTAGAAAATTTCACTGATTTTCCATTGAGAAAAGCATGGTGGTTTTCTGGAGAATGGCAATGGGAGATAACTCTATTCAGCTAAACTCAAAACAAACATGGCGGACTCCGGCGAACTCGTTTGGAACGTGGATATGGAAGTTGGTTTATTTCATGCTATGCGGGGTCACAAGCCAGTTGGTTAGTATATTTCAAATCATAAGATTCTTGTTCATGAAAAACTTGTCAATTTTGTCGATTACTTGTTCTTAACGGAATGAAATCGTGGTCCTAATTTTTGTAAACAATGAAGGGTTTATTCTCTTTGTCCTCGATTATCAGGTCCAAACGGCAACAGACCACAACTAATTTTGACATTGAATTTCAGACCACAATTATTTTCCATTTTTGCTGGGGCACCACAAGAGTTTAACTATTAACTTGTATGCTACTATGTTTCACGTGACAATATTGAGTGAAATATTTCCTATTGACTAGTACAATGATTATCCTGAATTTCCTGTGTTAGTAGTTCGTCCAATGGTCCAATGTTTAATTTTGTTTCTCCTTTTTTCAGGAGTAAATCGTCATTTTCAAATGATATACATTCACAACAAGATTAACGATTCTTTGGGTTTATCGAGAAAAATCACATCCAATGAAATTTGGAAACAGTTATCAACATTATATCAACTTCAAGCGTTGGTATGTAAGAGGACTTTTTGAAATTATTTCTCTTTGAATCATGTCTAGGGGTTGAGTATCAATTACCAAATTAAGATCGACTATATCTCTGTATCAGGTCTAGGGTTGGGTATCGATTACCAATGGCAATCTAATGTCTAATTAATAATTAATGTCAATTAACTATACTTAACAAGATTCACAAATTGAATAAAATAAATTATCATTATCTTGAGAATTATTCTTTTTATTCCAGAATGAGTCAGAAATTCTCCCGTTTCCAAATAAAGAAATAGATTTTATTCTGCCTGATGATGAATATCGAGAGTTAAAACACAAAAGAGATTTTCCACGAACGATCAAAGTTGAGCCAACAGACAGTAAAGACACCAAAGAATTGAAAGAAGCCAAAGACATTAAAGTGGAGAGAACAGAAAAGGCAGAAGGTAAAAAATTCTTTTAATGTCTTTTAACTATTTGACAACTATAATACAATTCTATTATTAGCTATGTGAACTTTTTAATCATGATCCCTCATTGACGATCCCTCATTGACGATCCCTCATTGACAAGCCCTGATAACATCAAGCATTCTGGAGAAGGGTTAACTCCCCTCTGAATATTGTTCTTGGTCTTAAGATACTTTATTTGGCTGTAAAATAACTGTTTTGTTTTGTATTGGCTTGTTCTTGCTCTGTTTTAAAATCATGTTAATTTTATATTTTAGCCAATCAGAGTAAAGGAAACAAATCAAATTCATCCAATAAATCAACAGACGTGAAGGGATCTCCTGCAGTGCATTCTGGGAAAAAGGAAATGAAGGGTGGGAATACACCACAAAGTAAAGCAGACTCTAAATCTCACTCAACCCCACAAACTAAAGACAAACACAAGGACCATTTAAATTCTAGTCTTGTAGACCCCTCTCCTAAACGGAAACGAACCAGACAAACAAATTCTGCCGCTGCCAGTCCTGCTACTCCTAATGACACTCCACCAATCAAACGTAGAAAATGAATTTAAACGAAAAAACGTACATTTATTGTGGGAATTGTGGTTAAAAAATATGCCAAATAAGTCATTGAAATCTATCTGAGAGCAATATTTTGGACTGTTCATACCCTCAAGTTATTTAAGCCACCTGGTAACCATGTAACCAAAATGAAGAACCATGACATCTTATGAGAGGTTTACAGTAAATAGGCGACTCAAGGAGACCTGGATCAACAACAAGAAACTTCTGCCATCTGTGTATATTATTAGAGCCTACACTTATCATTTCTTCAAGATCTGAGTGTAAATATCAAGGGAATCAGAAATACATGAGCATCTAAAGGATAAAGCTGTATTTGTATCAGATTGATAATAACTGGACATCCTGCTTTAGATTTTGTTGGTAGTGTATATTATGCTCAATCATGGAATGTTATAAAAATGATGCTTGAACTGTTGTATCAATAAGAAATTCAACCCAATGAGGTTCTTTTTAATATCCCCCCTGATGATTGTTATGGTTGAAGGTTTTATTCGTGGGAATAGAAATAATCTGTTTAGTGAAGGATCTGTAAGATGCACAGTTTATAGCACACAGGGTCAACTTTCAAAAGACTTGGCACAGACATCAGAATGTTTCTTACCCCCAGGATTTGAACCCACGGCACCTTATCATCTTGCATTAAGACAGTGTTCCATCCAAACATAATACGGAAATATTGACATTAAAACAGATCTATTCAGGGGAAACAGCATGGAAAAATTTCAATGTATTATCTTAGCCTATGCTAGAATTGAAGTTTAGCTAGCAAGCCACAGGCATCTGTTTCTATCAATAGTCGACTCTCTATATAATAGTTAATATATAGTATTATAGAGAGAGTCGACTATTGATAGAAACAGATGCCTGTGTAGAAAGCGTCCACCTTGCTCAGCCATCCCAACAATAACACCAATTTTAAATATTTAGTTTATTAATTAACTTGTTACTCCATCACATTTAAAATTTACAATAAAATTTACAGTGTTCATATTTAACAGAAAAATAAACAAAATTTAACAGAAAATAACAACAATACATATTAAAACACAAAATAAATAAAAACTTATTTCTTCTGATTATTAATATAGATGGTACCAGCCCTTGATGAAAATTGAAGAGAATCAACAGAGGTTTTTTAGCCTTTGTACGTGTATTGGAAACAAGCCTCAAAGACTCTGGCCCTACCTGGAGACGATATATCATCTATATATCATGTCTGAGGAACTTAATAGGACCACAGTAATCAAGCTTATCAGAATCAGTTATTTTATTTGCCCTACATTGTTTACTGGTCTGAAAATAGTTCCTGCATTTTGTTCTACAGATTATAAGTTTTTTCAAGGCAAATGGCATTTGATTAGATTCCATGAAACAATGACAGTATAAATGACACATACAAAGGCTCAAAACGCTTCTAAATTTAAGTAACAATCATTAATACATAGCTTCATTAGATTAGCTTAAATCAGAAAAGGACCTTGACCGACAAGCAGTCAAAACATCAGTATTTGTTATTTATATTCTGTATCATTTTCAGTTAAACAGCATATAATAAAAAAACAAAATTAAAATAATGGTGCAGAATCAAAGATATGCATTGAGTGAAGATAGCTTAAATCACTCCAGATGGTCAACTTTTCCCTGCAAATTATCACCCTACTGCAGGCTTTTTATATGTCTAACATATTTTGGCAGAAATGGTTGAATCTGGAGAGATTTAATGCGATTTCTAACAAGTTCTTTACAACAAAATTTACAATGAATTCTAATAATAGTCTATCTTATATACAGTTAAAATTTCATTAAAATATTATACAGTTAAGCCTCTCTATACTGGACATACTGTCACCCCTGTATATTGGACAGCAGAGGATCTCCCAAATTGTTAATATTGATACATAAATATTGTTAATATAATGGTGCTATGTTCCCATGATTATTTTCATGCATTTTGACTGAATACTTGGTCTTGAGGTATCCATGGTTACTTAAAAGACCCTGACCTCAATGACCCATGACCTTGATCTACTTTTGGCACATGGCTTATGTTAATTATGTTGACTAATGCATGAACACATAAATAATGATTCATCTCAATCTATCCAGACTGAACAGAAATAAGCAATAGAATGTATGTCTGGGTGATCAAGACAATGGAATGCCAGAAGAAAGAAAAGAAATGTTGGTTAAAAACAAGATGGCAGACTAGTAATAATACTAAGATATCATTGCCATAGATTATTGGATAGTGTCTGCCCTGAGCCTGCCGCCCCACCCCATCCTCCGGCCACTGGCTGGGGGGTCATTCCAGGCATCTGGCCACCAACTTTCATAGCACTCATCTGTTGCTGCATCTGAAAATAAATGAAAATAAAATGGCTACTTATCCTTACTATGTAAGTTATAATCCATACGGCATATCCAAAAGAGAACAATATTAAGCAATGCAGACATGAAATGGGTCTAAATGACTTTCTAATGGAAGATGGGAAATAAATGAGAAAGACAGGTATCTGCAGAGACAGTAAGGATTATCTGCCTTGTGTAGAATTTTATGAACTGACATTATCAGCCCGAGTGCTTGACCTTGAACTTTTGACCTACCTGTTGCATTTGTAACTGTTGCTGTAATTGTTGCTGCTGGGCGTACATGTTGGCTTGCATCATGTTACCTTGGTTACCACCCATCATGTTCCCTTGGTTACCAGCCATCATGTTCCCTTGGTTGCCTCCCATCATGTTACTTTGGTTAACACCCATCATGTTGCCTTGGTTACCAGCCATCATTCCGCCTCCCATTGGCTGTTGACCCATTCCACCCATCTGGTTCATGCCATACATATTTGGCTGCAAACAAAATGGACAATAAATACATTTAATATTTGACCATCATGTATCCATGGTTACTTAAATAACCCTGACCTATGTCCTTGACCTGATTTGGGAGCAAGAGCTAGAATTGCACCAATTTGTGGCAATAAGCCATCATAAAATAGACTTAATTCTACATACCTGCATTCCCATATTACCATATTGCATCTGTTGTCCCATTCCTGGAACAGCCTGTTGCTGTGCCATCATGTTACCACCACCCCCTGCACCGTACATACCCATATTCTGTTGGGGCATATAAACTCCCCCTGAAAGAAATTATGAATATATGAAAACGAAGCGAGCCAATAACAATGAGATACTATTTTTAGAATAAACTGACAACAAAATTCTCTTATAATAACACTTCTTTTCAAAGTCAAATCATACCTAAACCTTTATAATGATATTTCCCTCATCAAAGCATAAAATGTTTCAAAAAATTCAAAAGATTTTGAAACTAATGGATGTGTAGAGGACATTTGTGATCTTCATTTGTTTTTGTGTGAAGCAAGATAAATAAACACAGGCTTTAAAACCTGTTAACAAAAATTATAATTTGATCAGTCAATTTAAACAGAAACAGAAAAAGAGTGACTTTTGAAGTTAATTGAACAATAAAGTAAAATTTCATAATAAACGAGTGCATGAAAAATATAGAATAATATTGTCGAATACAAACATGCTTCTATCTACATGGATAATGATACTGTAACAGATAACTCTCTAAATACTTTAATATATATATAGGGTTTCTCTCTTATAGAAATCAATAAACCGAGGCCCAATAAGCAAGCTTTGAACAAGGAAATACTTCCAGACTAAAGAGTAGGCTAATGCTGATATCACAGTAATTAATTTATTGCACACTGCATGGCAACTAAATGAATTCAACTCAATTTCAGAAATTTTTGGACACAAGGGAATGACAGAGGAGAGCTTTTTTGCTAACAGTACAAGTGCATCTTACTTTTATGCCAAGAGTCAAGAGTCGAGAGTTTCAGAGAAATTAGAATAGAAAGAAATGGATCAAAAGGAATGCAACAAGAGTTTCAATATGAATATTTAAAAAAAAAAAGCTGGGAACCATGGCCCAAAAAAATTAAATTCCAAGTAGATGTGGAAAGACAAGGGGAGATAAAAGGGTCCAGGGACTGTTTTAAGTTCAGTATGAGAATATTCGAATGAACAAAGCAAAGGCTATATATTTTTCAAATCTAAAAAAAAGATGCCATTCCAACTAAAACCATTCAAAAAAGAAACTGAAAACACCTAATCTTAATTCTAAAAATAGGAAAAAGAAAGAAAATCAGGAAAAGGGTATACAAATCTTGAAGACTGATCAAAATAATAGACAAAAAATCAGGGAACTAAATCCAAAATCTGATATGAATTCTACCAAAATACGTCCCCATGCAGTAATTTGACGGCAATACTACCTAAACTGGCGTCATATGAAAAATAAGACGCCGGTGCAGCAGAATATTGAGTGTACGATGCTGGCATCGCGAAGGGATTCAGCTCAAATCCTTTTGGTAAAGTTGGGCTTTTAGGAGACGTAGCTTGCAAAAAAGGAGAGCATATTTTTTATGTTTGATAAAGATTTCTGCATAAGAATTGAAACGTTGCTAAATTAAAGGAAGGAGTAGTATATCAATAATAGTGTTCAAATTCATCTTATGTTTGCTCTTGATCTTTAACAGTGTTCAGTCAAACAGAATGGTGTCTTAACTGTTTTAAGGATCATATCAAGCCCAATTTCAAATCAATACAGTGCAGTGTTTCTAGCACTTTAATTTACAACAGGAACATTTGCTGTATCAACTGGTATATTCACTATTAGGAGCCTAAGTTTTACCAGTTATTCAAATTTATACCTAAAACATGGCATTTCCTATGACTTTCTTAACCTTTAGCTGAAAGATTCAGAAATTCTCATCCCTGTGTAATTTGAAAAAATACTTATATGAGTTTTCCTGGCTCCAGCTAGCATACATCTATGAGGAATATTAAATCAGCAAGATTATAACAAGACTATACTAAGGTAGAATTGAATAAGCTGATAGCCCAGACCCAAGTTGATATACTGATAGTCAAATGTTAATAATAGTAGCAACAAAGGTAGTTTGAGTCTTTTTAACATGACTTTGATGCAACAGCTGGATATTGCCAATCATTCTCTGAACACTGGGATACGTATGGTGTTATAAAGGCTATAATACGATACATATCATGATGTGGAGTAAAAGATAAAATGTAGCGAAGGAAACTTTCACTTTCAATATTCGTGCAATTGGATGAAGTCTAGTTAAATATTTTAAATATTTGTCCCACATTCCTGGTATCATCAAGCATCGATAATCGACCATGCGATATGACGTGTGTATAAACGCAAGTTGTATCAATTCACCATCAGGTTGACCTAAATAAATCAAAACTTGAATCCCAAATCAGCTGATTGCATCAAGAGCATAATGTCTAAGACTCTACTACCTTTGCTAGAGAAAGTTGAATATCAATATACTTGTAACAAGAATTCCTTCCCAAAACGTGACAGTGAGACCTTACCTGACGGTATCACATAACCTAAATCAAACCAGTATTGTTATACATTCAATATATCATTTTAAAGAGTTAAATATTAAACACAAAAATCACACAGGAAACCAAACAATCATAATCAATGTTAAAGACCATGGTTTGCCATTTTCTGAAGACTTTTTTACATATATTCAAGGCCCAAATCAATCCCTGAAAATGGCGAACCATGTCCTTTAAGGAAATTAACTTTGAATTCAAACAACAAAAATAATGTCAAACAGAACTCAAATGAAAGAATAACTAATATCAAGGACTGGTAGATCAAGACTATAAAGGGAAGTAACTCACCTGGTACACCGAACATTTGCTGTTGTTGTTGTTGCTGTTGGTTACCATATAAAGCTAAGATAGATTCTTTTGTGGATTTCTCTGCAACTTTGCTCGGTCCATCATCAAATAATCCTTCTTCTCCATTACCTACACTTCCATTCTGCAAAAAATAACACAATATGGATATTGGATTGATGAACTATCCAGTCATTTATATTCTTAAATACCGATGCCACTTTGTCACATGACCACAAGTTAAAGTGTTTTTAACGAGACAAGACGAGATAAGACGGGACAAGACGAGACAAGGCCTACCTGTGAGGGCTGATTGCCTAATAAACTCTGACCACTTGAGGTAGGGGCTGTATTGGGTTGGGATTGTGGCTGAGTTTGATTGGTCACTGGCTGAGATCCAAAAATATCCAACAAATCACTTGACGAATTTCCAGATGAGGCTTCTGAAAAATGGAATATGATATTTCAAATGCAATACCATACAAATCATTAACTTACTTAAATGTTTTGTGAAAGGAAGCCTGGTTTCATTAGAACACATAAAAAAGAATTACTCAGTTAATCTTTGAAACAATAAAGAAGTTATTATCAAACTTAATAAATGTTGTACCTAGTCTATATCATTTCCACTGAGTAAATTACATAATTTATAAATTCCAATATGAAATCAATTTAAGTCTTGACCTTTGTAACAAAAAAATGTGACCCCATCTGAACAAAAACAGTTCAATTTAATTGATTTCTATTCCTTACATCAACCAATAAAACAAACATTTTTTGAAATAAACTCTTTCACCAAAAGAAACAAAAATATTTTAGACCCTAGAAAATAAAAAGAAAACTCTAATATGAGAAAATAAAAAAAAATTCCTGACAACTTAAACCAATTCATTGTAAAACGAAAGACTAAACTAAAAATTCAGCCATGTCATAAAAAGTTTGACTAATTCCCCTAGAAAACGAAACAAGCCTAAAACCCAAATATATGACTCCCGCCACCCTTTCTTACCACTATTATTATTATTGTTATTATTTGGCGAGATTAGCGGGGAAGAGATGTTAACTGATCCATTAGATCCACTGTCCTGATTGGTCGCTGGTGTTAACAACGGTAAACTTAAGTATGTCATATCTAAAGAATTACAATAAAAGCTCAATCTAAAATTACTCATAACATCAGTACGAGCAAAGTCTCTAGGGCCTAATTCTCAAACACATGAGTTTAGTGTCATCTGATTGGTCAATCACTAAAATCTAGTTTTATTATCCAATAAGATTGCTGTATTTCTCAATGGTATACTACTCCTATTTAGAAGACAACGTTTCAACAATTTACATTGTCAAAATCAACTTACCTGATGACAATGTAAATAGTTGAAACGTTGTTTACTGCTCAGTAGTTATATCTCATTTTTTAGTAGCAATTAGTATGTAAAATCCAAAAAAAAAAGTCAATTATTAAAGAAAGATACGTACCTAAACCCATTAAATCAGCAGCAGCACCAGAAACTTTGGGTTGAGCTGGAGCAACAACTTCTATTGGTTTAGGCTGTTTAGCACTGGATGTTTTCTTCTCAGGTTTTGTGGTACTTGATTTCGGAACCTGTAAAATAACTCATAGGTTAAAGGATTGCAAGAAACACAGACGACTGACTGAAATCTGGAAGGCGCTAATCCATGCTATTAGTGTCCCCAATACACGTAAAAAGTTTTAAAACCCTCTCAAGAACCTGTTAAAAAGAGGATGAAATCTTTATTGGAAGTCAAATGAAGTCCCAATACTTACAGCATTAAGTTGTATAGATGATGTTTTATTTTTAGCTTTCTTCTTTTCCTTCTCATCTTCAACCCACTGGAATCATAGAATTATGTCATATAAAAATTACAGTAAAAACAAAATACTTAAAAATATATAATTACTTAGGCTACCTTGCTTTTATTTTTTACCACATCTTTTTGTCTAGACTATATATCATGAGTTGTTGAATAATATTTTATGATTTTCAAAGTTGAACCACAAAAATTTCCTCAAATGACAATAAAATAGATATGACCCCATCACCAATGACACCAACCAAAACAGACAGTCCCAACTGAAAAAGGATGATTAATTATGAATTCTAGCGTTTCTCACATTCTTTGAAATACCAGAAAGTTATTTCAAAATTTTATGATGGTAATCAAAAATACCCAAATTCAAATTTTTAATCAATATTAAAGTTATTCCTTTGACCTAGAGGTCAAGGGTCAAGGTGTTAAATAATGCCTGACCTTTATAAGGAAAGTAAAGACAGTAATAAAATAAGGAAATAAGAGACCACCAACTGAATGAAATTAAATAAACACTTTATCACCACAACCAAAATTTACATAAATTAGAATTTACCTCGGTTTTCAACTAGATATGATAAATTTAAAATGGCGATTTAATATAAAATACGGAAAACTTTCAATACAGGGCAAGGTTGAAATCACAGACCTCTCATTATCAATAATCTTCTATAAAACACACTGAGATATGATTTCTATAGTTTGTGTCATTGCAAGGGTATAATAGGGCCCATTATCAAACCATTTTCAGTTTATTTTCATCACAGCTATATGAATTTGTCAGTGAACAGGGAAATGAACCCTCAAAAATACACATGGGGGCTATTTCACTGGAGTAAAATCAATCAACAAAATAGACAGTTTCTCACCTCTTTAGGAACAGAGGGCTTAGGGGGAACCCATTCTTTAGCTAAATATTTTTTATGTTCATATTTAGCCCGTATAAATGCTTCTAAAGCTCTATTATTAGGTTAAGAAAAACAATAAAAAATACAGACGCTTCTTTGTCGAAGAATTCCATGAATTGAATTGTAAGTAAAATGAAGTTATATGTTAAGAAGTGTAAGAATTGATAGGCAGTGCGAAAAACTGTGCAATGATGGACAAAGCCAGTGAAGCAGGTCTTCCTCATCAAGCTTATATCCTTTGTTTAAATCATGCTGCAAAATTTATCAAACAAGAGTTTTGAAAATAATGATATTTCTAAAATAAAATGTTCCAGAACTTGGAATATTTTCTGAAAAAGGATACGAATCTGTTTGTGGGCGTCTATAATTATCAGGCAGCTCGGCTTCATAGGCTGCACGGGCTCGACTATTTCCTATTTCCTGCATCATCTAAAAGATACAAATTAATCAAAATAAAGACAAACATGTTGATCTGCACTGGGTACTAAGATATTCTGAATAAAACATAACCAAACTTTTCCTATATCTCTTCGAAGTATCATTATGTGAAAGGGGCCAAGTAGTGGCCACCGAATTGTCAAGAGGGGCTGATAGGAATCAACAATAAGAAATTTGAAACTGGGCAGGCCAGTTTAATTTCTCCATCAAGTAATGTTATTGTTATTCCTTAAAGATAATGTAACTTGGAGTTCAGATTCAGTTTAATGAAATTTTTTATTTGAAGGGTTTTCTGTACGAATCAGAAGATTGATTACAAAATTTAAACTTACAGCAACTTGCTCTGGTAACCAGCTATCTAAATTCACAGACTTTACTCGACTGATGTGAACCCCTAGATTCCTGTGAATACCAGCACATCTTATACATAAAAATATCCCCAGATTCCATGACGCCCATCTCGGACCTTTATAAATATTAAATAATAGTTAAAAAATACTTGAAATATATTGCATGCATTGTTGGATTTGTGTAAGTGACCCCTCATAATCACTAGGCCATGTTTTCTTTATAAGAAGCCAGGTTAATTGGATAATCACTAAGTCTAAAGCCAATTAGATCTCAGGTAATTAGGCTATCATTGATTACTAATTAACAAGATTTAATTAACTTGTCTAGAACAGATGGTCTTCCAATTGAGGCAACTGGTCATAGTAACTGTATGTAGGCCTATTGGAGGCTTATATGCTTCAATTTAGATTCCATAATACATAATAGGTAAAGAATTTGCCCCTCCCCCAAAAGGTTACACTGGAAACAGTTCCACTTCCAGACTAACAAAAATGGCAACCGGATTTACTGCATAAAACATTGTAGGCCTACATAGAATTTTGAATCTCAGCACATATGTTTCGAATAAAACGAAGATATCAGTACAAAGACCTAAAGGCTAGGACACTCCTTGTGAAAAAAAGGTTCAAAATGACACATCGACTGTTTTGATGTCGAAACTCTGAGCTCAATGTATGTTATCTTCACAGCTCCACACGGCGTCCATTTCTGACAAAAGACTCACCTTTGGCGTCACAATCGACGCAGTATTTGTTGTCTTCATCTTTGAGTAAAGCAGAAAGGATGGCCTGGAATTTCTCCTGTTGGGCTTTTGCCTTTTCTTTTTCAAATCGACTCATGATTTCGATGATAATTTTTCTTTTCTTGTGATAAATTTGAGACAGGGGCAGATAACTACATATAAACTTCCGGTTGGTGGAGGAATACAAAAATTTTAATGTACCGCACGCCTCAAGATTGTCATTTGATTTCAGTTCAGAATCATAAGATAGATTGAGAAAATTGTCCACAAATGATAATATGAACATTGTGTCAGCTTATCAAGAAAATTCATCAAGGGACTACTTTTGTTAAACTAATTAAACCGAATTACCGATAACGTCATTATAAACAAGGGAGTTAATGCGTTTACCCGACTCAGACCTCGTTTAACTCTCTGATGATTTGGACTCACTCCACTAATTCATTTGCCATCTCTTCCCATGTTAAAACACGAAATTCAACCTTCTATAACTTTTTCCAGAAATCTCGTTGAAAGCTTTCCAATATGTCGAATGAAAGCCTGACCAATTCTCAATGTCTCCTAAAAAATTCATTATATGATGACCATGAAAATTTTGAGCTACTAAAATTGAAAGTAGACTACTACCGGTTATACTCATCCGCTAGAGTTTGGCACTTCACAAAACGACTATTTTTAGAATTAGCCTTCCGCCTTTAAGTCTCTCATCATCTCACCAAATCTGAAAGATAATGCAATTTCAGACATCAAATTCCAAATCTAGACCAAATTTTACCCAAAAATAGGCAGGCAAAAACCCCAAAAGGGAGAGAGAAAGAAGATTTCTAAAAATAGCCTGGACTACATTCCTATACAATCATTTGCATAAAATGTTTTAGTGGAGTGAGTCCATTTGAACGCCTCACTACAAATGAATTAAACACATGGGCACGAAACTAGTATCAAATGTATATATGTCTATCATATTTTGAAATCGACGACGTGTCGATCAATAAACTCGATATCACAGCAGTCGATGTGTATACTGTATATAAAAAAATCCCCCAAATTTTAATTTTTTTTTTCATTTAATAACTTTTAAGATATTTACAATACATTAATATTCATGATCAAAAAAAAGAAACTCAAAACCTAACAATGATTACTAATGAAGTTTAAATCATAGTCAAAGATCTATTACAGCCAATTTGGGGTTTGTTTCTCAAAAAATGTTGCGATAAATTTTTGCCCAAATGAGAGTGAGATGTATGAAAACTACAAAACACAGATTCTTCATTACAATTTTTACAAACTGAGATGGGGTTCAAAACTGAATTAAAACTTCAAACATAAATAAACCAGATAGAAATAACAAACAAAAAAATTGTACAAAATATGTACGACATGGCTACAGGGCTGTTGATTTGGCCCTATTTGCCGGACATGACTGACGGAGCAATATCCTCTATCGGACATCAAGTATAGGTTAGCCGTTACAAGTCATTCAATATCTTTCAAATGCAAAATAATAGCTCTTAATGTTAAGCCTTCAGAAGGTTTGAAAATAAAGTACAAAATGTCTTCAACTCCAGTTTACAGATTTTATACAAATATTAACAATACAAAACACATTTCAGGCCATTTTGATCCCCTGAACGTTTTTCTGTAAATTAACAATTTCTTTTTCTTGTCGTAATTTTTCAGAGTTGAAGGCCTGTTTGTTTATTTTCTTCTCAGCTCTCCGAACCTGGAAATAAAGAGGTGAAAATGTGAGCATAAGAAAATAATACAGCAGTGAGTGACCTACTTCTCTGAAAGATGGGATCATTTATTCAGCTTAGTGACTCCCTGCAGCTTCCCAGTTGCAAAATTCAGTCCAAGAAAGAAAGAAGATAAATGTTTTTCACAAGGATAACAAGGATTCTATCTACCAGATACCAGATCTAACCTTATCTCATTTGATTCACTTCATTTTCAAGAGTGAGGACCATGCCCTACCATTCCAGTAACACCAGTCACAGTAAGCAAAGCTTTTCAACCACCATTTCCAAATTTGCAGAAGACAAAATATGTGCTAATGATGTCCACCCTACAGAGCACCTGCTATCAATAACAACAAAATAAATATACAGACCTTTCTTTCATCTTTAACAGCTTGTTTTCTCGCTTTCTTTTCTTCGGTTGTTTCCCCTTTCGGTCTATATGTACTGGCAGTGTCAGCTTTCCGCGATTCACGCATCTCTTTTTCTATCTGTTTCCGTGTTAAGCCTGGTAAGCCTAGACTACCTTGCGGAATTCCCAGTCTGGAGGTTAATTTTATTTTACCGTCCTGAAATATGAACATAAAATAATATAACAATCTAAATAAATTAAGCCAGTTAAGAACACCCTATATTTGATCCTAAAGTTTTCTGTATTTCAAAAAAAAAGATAATGTTTGGTTTAAGTTCTATACAAAGGTACAGAAAATATCCCCAAGCGACACATAATGATAACGTTAGTGATTTTGACAATCTCTCAAAAATCACAAGTTTTCAAAAATTTTGAAAATAAAATATTACTATTAATATTACTCACCTTTTTTGGTTCTGATATCATTTTAGGATGGTTATATAAATTAGAATAGGTACCTGAAATTAGAGGAAATACAGTGTCAATTGTGGAAAAGAAAAATATTACAAACAATGTTAAATGGGCAGTCTAATTTGATTCAAACGTGACAAACTGAGCTTTTTATGTGTGAAACTATTTCAAACCCTTTGTTCAGCTGAAATTTATGCAGGATCACCTAACTTTTACACACCAACAGAGATTAGAAGATAAGACTCCCATGTTACAGTATTTTCTATTCACATCTCATAAGGCAAGTTTGTAACATGGCAAAAGCTTTCATCTAGAAGAGCCCAGAAAACTTCAGGCTTTCCATATTGAAGAGCCAATATAACTTACTCAAAATAGATTCACAATCCCATTTTTCTTTTGGTTCTTCAATAGTAAGATCCATCATATCATCTTCTTTTTCTGAATCCACATCATCTTCATTAATCAGGATTTCTTTTTCATCTACAATTTCTCGCAGTTTTCTGAAAAAATATCATTATATGATAATTTTATTTATATTTGCAAGAACGGATCTAACAGTGGAGGGTTTCATACTGTCATAGGTTAGGAAAAACATTTTTGGGGTGAGACAATAAGCTAAGGCCTCCTGATACTACAGACCATGCTTGTTAAATAATGCAGAACAGTTGAAAATTGAAAAAGTGTATGCTAACGCCACCTGTTCCCATATTCAACAATTTCTAGATCTTACTTATTTTTCTCCTTCCTATCCTTCTGGAAGTCTTTGAGTATTTCCTTCATCAGGGCACTTTTAGTAGAAATGGAACCATCGATATCTTCTGTGTCTAAAGCTCCGATCTCTTCCTCATAATACTGCTCATAGAACTACAATATAAAATCAAACCAGAAATATTAAAACAGAATCTGTAAATCTCTTTACAATGAATATATTGAGGACTATTTTAAAAGTAATAATATATTGTTATTCACATTTCAATATATGATGATTTATCAAACAGCTACCTGTTAATGTAATAAAATACTATCACTTCTATCAAGTGGTTGAGTATTTGCTGATTTTCTGCATTTTATCTTTTTAATACTGCCACAAGGCTCAGGAATTCAGTAGATACCTTAGTTACGACTATATCAAAGAAATTGAAACTTATGTAAACAAACCTTCTCAAATCTGTCATCTAAAAGTGTTAAACCTTCGTTTCTCCTTATCACTGATGATGTCATAGAATAATTCGTAAATCGCGATTTCGTTTCTTCTTTATCCAAATTTTCCTCTCCATCAAAATCATCATTTTCACTGAACATATCGTCTTCGTCAGTTTCAAAATCTGAACCAGAGTCATCTTCTTTATTTTCTTCTCTGAAAATATAATGGAAAAATTTATAGTTGTTCATTCTAATCAAAATGCCTCCAATTGTCATCCGTGACTTTTCAAAATTGACATTTTCTAATAAGACTACTGTATTTCTTAAAATCTAGATTTGATTTCATTTTCCAGAAGGCCTCTATTTTTATTAGAACCATAGAGTTACCTACCCTTCCATGTTCTCTTCCCCTTCAACAGGAGCGTTGGCTTTCGTAATAAAATCATCATCTAGCAGATTGTCCTCATCATCAAAATCAAAATCATCATCAAGACCAGCTACGATATCAGGATCCCATTCAATTAGTGGACCTGTTAATCATATCATCATAAAAATATTAATATTAAAATAGTTAATTTCATAGCTCAGCTGTATTTGTCGTTCAAAATGTTAAGTTTACTTCATAAATGATTTTAGAACCTAACCCACTATTTCATCCAATCAGCATGGGCTAAATTTTCTATTCAATGAAATTTATTCTCAATCATGTTACATTTTGATTGACAGCTAGCTTTAGGTGGTTTGTAAGTTAGTTCAAAATAAGTCCCTTGGCTTCCTCCTCCCACTTCTTAAACGTTAAAATTTTTGCTATTAAATATGTTCTAGCAATCAATATTGCTTCAATCCATTTCAAATTAGTTTTCAACTCTTACCTTTCCTAGGAGCTGCTTTATTCAACATTCCAGTTTTAGCCTGAACTTCTGATCCAAAAACAGATGATGGTAAAGTTATATTAGATTTCGTCTTTTTCTCTTCTGTTTCCGTCTCATCTTCCTCTTCTTCTTCTTCGCCATCTTCTTCCCTATCACCATCTTTCTTTTCTGATTTCTGCAAAATAATTTATAAATTTTATTATCAAAATATACCTTCAAAAGTTACTATCAAATAAATCATATGGAGGTCTAAATATATATCTATTCATGTGGTTTTTAAACAGATGAATCAATATGCTGCTTCACAGTAACAAAACTGGTGAATATTATAAAAATATAGGCCCACGAGACAACACTTCTCATATGAAAAAGATTGTTTTGATTGGCTTATATTCAAAACCGAATTGAATTATATTCAATCATGGTCCCATCTATAGGCGGTTGTGGTTTATTACCTTAGATGTAGACGGTTTAGGCTTGTCAGATTTGGAGATTATTACCTTAGAAGTAGACGGTTTAGGCTTGTCAGATTTGGAGATTATTACCTTAGAAGTAGACGGTTTAGGCTTGTCAGATTTGGAGATTATTACCTTAGAAGTAGACGGTTTAGGCTTGTCAGATTTGGAGATTATTACCTTAGAAGTAGACGGTTTAGGCTTGTCAGATTTGGAGATTATTACCTTAGATGTAGACGGTTTAGGCTTGTCAGATTTGGAGATACGGATCCTCTCTATCGGTTCCAACTCAGAAATTTCATTGGCATCCCGAAGATGTTGTAGATAATTATATTCATCTTCATAAAACACACCAAATTTTCTTTCTTCCTCTTTCCTAGCCTCCTGAAATGTAAAGGCACGATATATATACATCTGTGAATCAATGTTTCATGATATGAAACGAGATTCCATGAAATGAAAGACTAGAAATATTATAACAGAACCTGAAACATGTTGTTACTTATGTTGCTGCTGATGGCAATATATGGACTAGATCTATACCAGTATAATTTAAAATCTTTACCCTTTCATTAATAGGCAGTAGAACTCTGGTTCCAACATCATCATTAGCAATCAGAGGATCACGCTGACTTCTATGAACCAATGAGAACGTAACTGAATTCTTCTTGTCTATAAACTTCTTCTTCTTCTTAGGCTGTAATTAAAAAAAAGGATTATTTTATACATCTATGGAAAATACTAGACTCAGCCTACAGACACAGGCTACAAATAACCATTATTAGCCATAGCATGTGATGTGGACTCTCTGGATGAGATGCATTGCCTACAAATTAAAAGAAAAGGCTGTAGAATAGATACACTGTTAACTAATAAACCATTATATCATTATTGGCCATGTGTCACACAGGATGAACAGGTTGCTGACAAACCAAAATCCTTCACGGAGGCTACTTGATTATAAAACACGATAAGCCATGTGGACTCTCAGTGGTGACTCCAAGGGTTTGGCATCCCCAGTCCACAAGTTAAGAGTGGCTACCGTACTTGAAGAAGGGTAAGCAAGCACTGTCATTATTAGCATAATAAAATTAAACTTGAAACTGTGTAAGATACCGTGAGATATCGTTATTTTTGAATTGAATGTTGCTAACTTAGTGAACGTTCATCCAACTCGCCATACCATAACACCAAATATCTCTCATACGTACCATTTTGATGGAATTTGTTATATTTCAAGAAATTGGAAATAAACACACGTGCAGCGGAAGTGATCAATGTTTACAATTTTACAAATTAGGAATCCATGCGAAAACGGAAAACGAAATATTAGATTTCTTTAAAAAAGAAAAGCCTCTCTCAAATTGACTTATATCATAAGATTTGACTTATTTTAAATTTTCCTAAGCAAAATTTCATTAATGTTTCTTAGAATATTAATGGTGCTGGCTGTAATATTGAACGAATTAAAAATTTGTACGGAATTGATCTATTTTTGTAGTCTCGGTTTTCAAAAAATAAAAAACCATAAGATGTAAACGTCTGGATGTGGAGTATAAACAAAATGTCGAAGACTGTAAATCCTGATGACGTTTACAAAGAAAGAGTATCAATGAAAGATGACATGAAATGCCCAGATGGAAAATATTGGACGAGGTGAACCTATTCAGCTTTTATTTACTGCTTACGGATCCTTAGAAAATCGCATTGATCTCATAGATCTACTAACGGAATGTGAAATGAAAAAATAAATATTATTTTGGTGTCCGTAATTTGTCAACTTCTTGTCCACCAAACAGCATTGGCTCTTGTTGTTTGTAGATCTATTTCGAAAGCAGCTAACACTTTTGTCTTAAATGATGGGGGCTTTTGTCCAAGAAGTTATGGTAATGATGCAAAATTGCAGAAGGACTCTCGTGCCAAAAAAGCGCTATTGATTGTCAGTTCTTCAGATTTCTTGATCATCTTATTATAATGTGATTATTTTTTTCTGTTACAGGCAAGAGAAGAGAAAATGGGCAGTAGGATTGTTTCTGGGTACCGCCATGTTATATTCCTCCCGGACAATCATGCCCCTGTCCATAGTTACAGTGTCAGAAGAAATGGGGTGGGATAAAACTGAAGCTGTAAGTACAGTACTTTAGTTGCCTAAAGTTCATTAGCTGCTACAAAGGTTTTGCCAATATGTTGTTTTGGATTCCCAGTTTTGTATTGCAGTTTTGATCATTAAACTTGTTTTTTTTCATTATTGACAGCTTAAGATCCCCCCACAGGAAGCTGCAGTTGATCAGTGAGTTAAATGCTTGCTCAGGGTGGAGATAAAACCTTTGAATCATTCCATGACCATGAAGAATTTAACGAAATTGAAGAATTTTGACCTTTCTAACTAACAAGATGTCATTATGTTTTCTATTCTTTTTTGTTCCAGGGCACAGTACTGTCAGCTTTTTTCTGGGGTTACACAATGACCCAGTTTCTAGGAGGGTATTTGAGCGACCGTGTAGGAGGGGATGTGGTGATACCCATAGCAGCCTGTCTCTGGGGGCTGATCACATTCTGGACCCCACAGTTAGCCTACGCAGCCTCTGATAAACATAATGCCCTGTATATAGTGGTATTGACTAGGGCGTTACAGGGTATATTTCAAGGTGAGTGGACATTATGATGTTATAATTAGCAAAAACAACCCCAGAAAACTCCCACCCTTTCAACTAAACACTTATGATCAAAGTTTGTCAAAAGCATACAAAGTTTCAGGCAATAACTGGAGCTTTTGATAAATTTTGATTTTAAGCATTTTGTGACACAGGGGTTAAGACAGTCCACTTGAAGATATTCTCTGACAAAAATATGTGAATTGCCAAATAATGTGTTGAAAGCAAGGTAATTAGAGATCAAAGCAATAGAATTTGATGTTTGAAAGGCAAATACAAGTCAGGACCAAATCAAAGTTAAAGAATGAAAATACAAGGCTTGGTTTTGAAGTCAATATTGGTTTGTTGCTTCATTAGAGTTCATATAAAGCTAGCTTGGTATATTCAGACAAACTCTCAAGACTGTAAGAGAATACCTTGATTTCCTCAAAACTCATGTTGAACAAATTTTTATCCCGCAAGATAGGCATATTCACACTAATAAACAAACAAAAAACACGTGTGTCAATATGTTTTGAAGCAATTTGATCCCCAATCTAAATTCCGACTGTCTTTAGGATTTCAAATGCCGGCTACAACTAGCATGATCAGCAGACATGTTGATAGATCACGTGCCATCTACACGTCAACAGTTGTCACGGGCAACTTTGTAGGGTAAGTCAAGGGAGATCACTCTAGGTAGAGAGAAAATATTGGGTTACACTATCACGATTTGACTGTTTTGAAATCGGCTCTGGTATTTTTTTTTCTTTCCTGTTTTATTTAAGCCATTTACATTTTAGATCTAACAACATTTGTAAGCAATGTGTGTTCTAAATTTGTGTTAATTGAAGGTTTGCATGAATTATGCCAAATCGTTATACAATCAAACTTAAAAGAGTTCTAGAATGAGTGAAGTTGCCCATACCAAAAAAGGAAACAAAATATCTGGAGCTGTATTTTAATCAGATTCTATCATGGTTTTGATGTTTAGCGACACAAGGGTGATTTAAAAGTAGTAATATGGAAGTCTTTCTGTTTATGATGGTTTATTTGGCTATATATAGTCTTTTAGTATATAATATCAAAGATATAATGCACGGTATGGAAGGACCGTCTTAGACCATCTTGGATGAGTAATTATCATTTCACAAACTACAATCCAAATTTCCTAAGGTTCTGCCTACATTTTTTTTTATCACCCTCAGCTCGCTACACCAAGTTTTGTTTGGTTTTGACTATAATTTTACCCAAAGTAGTTCTAATGTTCAAATTTGACAAAAATTCTGCTCTCAGGTCTGAGTTATTTCCCTTGCTTTTAACTCTATAAGTTGCAAGATTTAATTGTAGCCTGATATGTTTGGTATATTCATATATTATATACAAATATTTAAGAATAAATTTTTTCTGAGTAATTCATTAAAACCTTAGTTGGATACAACAAATTCCTTTATGAAGTAAAGATTTCTTCTATGACTTCAGATTTCTCTGTGACTTCAAAAGAACTTCTCTATATTCACAATTTTAGACTTCTTCTATGACTTCTAAGTTTATATACTTTTTGACTTCTATAGAATCTTCTATGTTTTCAAAAATATTTTGTCACTTCTTTCATGACTTCATCAGGATCTCACATGACTTCAATGGATTCTGCTATGACTTCAATAGAATCATCTTTGAAATATTCTGTGACTTCTCTAGAATCTTATTTTACTTCTATATATAATCTTATATAACTTTTATAATATGGTGTGACTTCAATGGAGACCTTCCTTATATATAAAAACATTGGTGACTTCTCTAGAATCATTTATGACTAATCGATGTGATGTCATTTCCTTACTTTTATTGAAACTTCTTTGACTTCTCTAGAATCCTCACGACTGATCAAATATTCTATGATGTCATATCCTTCTAGTGTTTTATTTCTATCTGATATATATTTAGGTTTTCATTTTCCAAGTATGACTAGCCTAGTCTCTAAAAAAACGACCCAAACAGAAAGATCGTCAACTTTTGTTGCCATTGCTACTGGGTCTACTTTTGGGTAAATTTTAGTTTTTATATTAACCTTTGTCTGTGTTTTTACTAACTATCCACGTCTGGTAGATTTAGAGCTGAGAGAATGACATTTTTTTGGTTAATAATCAGCGCTACGTCTTTCTTTCAAGAAAAATTGCTCAAAAGTAACAAACATATACTTTTCATCATGAAAAAATTTCTGTGTAAAAAAAATTGGCTATTAGAACCATTGGTTGTAGACAATTTTTTGAAAAATTATTTCAACCGATAAAAACTGTTCTTAACCTAATATGGCAGACGTGATCATTGACCGTCATTCTCCCAGTTATAAATTAGTATTTAGTTAGACATATTTTAATTAGATGTTAGATTACAGTTGATGCTCATACAGTTTTATTCAGAGTTCATAGGTCGGTTTAAAAAATAGAATTTTAAGGAAATCTTTCTGTTAAGAAATAAATAACATGAATAGAAAAGACAAATAAACTTTGAGACTCAAAAATAGTAATAAGATACGATAGAACACATACATCAAGAAAACACTAAAAATAATATGAACTATGAACTCTTAATCAGAGCTGAATTAGCATCTTTACTTTCTTTTCTGAGTCTTTATACCTCCTCCTTGTTTCACTAACAGTTTTATAGCTTGACTTGATTCAACAAGGGAATGTGAGTCAGTCTACATCTACCCCTTGATACATCTGTATTATATTCTCACCAGGAGGTAAAACACAAGCCTCATTGATGTTATATAGTCAAAAACCAGTTCCTGAATCCTCTTCTGTCTCAGTCAACGTATGATTGGTCCATGTTTTATTTTCCAACCAATTAGAATCTTGGAAACAAATTTTACACCAAAAATGATTCTGAAGAATACACTTTTGATAATCAACCCCGTTTGTAGCTGGATTTCTAAATTGCAATTAGGGTATACTGCCTTAAAGGATGTTGTGTAGTATATCAAGGGCTTAATCTCGATTGACTCACACACCCTTCATGGATTAAGTTGAACTTAGACTTCGACTCGTTGCGATTGTCGATTAATATTGTGGTTTGATCTACAGGGTTTCACTATCCCAGTATGACTAGTATGATATCCCGTAAAGTTATGGAACATGAACGTTCGTTGACGTACAGTGCCGTAGCAACTGGATCTCATGTAGGGTAAGCTAGCTTCGCTTCATTTCCTTCCATTTCATTGGCTGAAATTACGCTTTTTGTCGTTGTATAGTGGGTGTCACTTTTCCTTCAAAAAAAAATCATCTGGTCCTGGCCAATTCCTAAATTAAGATCATTTCAACCAATTTTTTTCATTTTTTTCCTCTACCCCAAAATTTTTTGAAAGGGATGTGAAACCCATATTTGTTTTCCTATTTTTGTATACCTTTATGTCATTTCCCATTCAGTTCGGAGCTTGAAATCTGCTTGTTTTTAGCTTAATTTTAATTTTAAATCCCAAAATTTCAGATGAAATGAGGAAACGGTGAATCAGAAATTAAGAACTTGGTTTTTTTTTCTGTGTTTCTATTTATTTGGTTGTGGCTTAAAATCACCATATGACTTTCCATTTTACATCTTCATTGAAAATGGTCGAGAAATGAATTTGTTACAATGAAGTTGTGTAATAGAATGTCATTACGTATTTTAAGACTGTGGTTGTTTGTTTCCTTTTTATTATAAACACACTTACGTTGGCCTGTTCCCTGCTTTTTATTTTCAATCCTGAAAGATATTGATGCTTTTATTTTTATTTTTAACATTTGTTCACAATTTTTCAATGTAGTCTTATGATATGTTATTGAACATGTTTCGAAAGATTCTGAATGCTGATGAAAGCCTAGATTATTCTCAAATATTAAAGTTTTGTAAGAGTAACAATTTAACAATTTTTGAAAAGCTGTATTTCTGAAATAAATGTATGATGTATGAATGTCAAATGAATATTTTGTTTTTATTTTAGAACCTTACTAACAGGAAGCTTGGGGTCCTTTTTATTAGACAGATACGGGTGGAACATGCCCTTTTATTTTATAGGTAAGTTGTTGCTTTAAGTGAAGAGGTTTCACAGCCTTTGAAGGTTATTATACGTTTATTATAGCTCCTATTTATACCATCTCATTGGGGCGTGAGAATTAAACCCCAGCAAAACCTCTTCAGTTCAGCAGAGATTGATTTCATCAGAAAGTCTTAAACATACTATCACAAAAAAAAAAACCCAGACGGGCCGATTTTAATTGTGACCTTTGACCTTTTCAGGAGGGTGTAGTATATTATGGATGTTGGGGTTGAGATATTTCTTAATTAAAAAACATCGTCTGAATAATATTAACGTGAGATTAGACGAGGGACCGAACCCAAATAAAATACGAGGTCAACCAGCTGTACCGTGGGTCACACTCTTCACTAAACCAGCTTTCTGGTAAGTAGTCTTTTCTTTCAAAGTTCAAACACCAGCCGTGTGACTCTATAGGTGGGGCAGAATTTGTATAGACCAAACCTTATTTTTCAAGTGTATCTAGGACACTGATAGCACCAACTTGCAACATTCTAATATACACTCTGATGACTATGGGTCATGTAATGGCTTCTGTTATGGGTCCTGTAAACTCAATAATGAAGGGGCATGTTTGATTTATTTTTGTTCTTTGTTTTTTTTTTCAGGTCATTAATAGTTGGTCATTTTTGTGAAAATAACGCTTTTTATATTTTATTGTCATGGTTACCAACATATTTTCATGAAAATTTTCCCCATGCCAAGGTAAGTCTTTAGGGGAAGGGATGAGAATTTCATCTTGCTGATATATTGATTGAGTCCCTCCCCATCTTTGTAAAAGCCACGCCCCTATTGATTATAGATGGGACAGCAATTCACTTTATACTTTTAGCTTTGTAGGGTGGTGATCATAACAACCTCTTTCAGCATCAATATTTAAATTTTGCATCATAATGCGAGGTTTACCTACTACAGTGAAACACAGTAGAAATTTGAAGAAATGATAGTCCCCTCAAATAATTGTTTTTACTTTATTTTGAATTTGATTTCAGGGCTGGGTTTTTAATGTGGTACCATGGGTAGTAACTATACCCAGTTCATTGTGTAGTGGGTGGATAGCTGACCATATGATTACTAAAGGTAAGGATTTTATAATGTGGGGGTAGGGAGGGGAGGGGATGGTAGGGTAAGGATGTTTAAGAGAGGTGGAGGGGTAAGTAACTATACCCAGTTCATTGTGTAGTGGATGGATAGCTGACTATATGATTACTAGGGGTAAGGAGTTTTGAGACAGGGGGAGACAAGGGTAGGGGGGAAAGAAATTTAATGTGATAACTTTAATTGAGAAATAAGATACAAGTGAAAAAAAAACAGTAAGATAGTGCTGCTGTCATGGCAAAATTTTACTCATTGTACACAGTAGGACATTGTTTGTTTTCATTAACCCATTCTGGAGCATTTCATCTCATTTTATATTATTTTTATTTTAGGTTATTCTGTCACATTTGTCCGAAAATTGATGGAGGTAGGTCACTCTGTGTTGAACATGTCAAAATATTTTTAAAATTAGTTTTATCGTTATTCCATAACAAGTACTTAAAGGAATTCAAAATGGGTTTTCAAGTTTTATATATTTGTTTTATCATCATATTGTCAAAATACCTTGTTTCTGTCATTATAGAGTGTGGCCTTATTAGGAACATCGTGTTTTTTAGTGTTAATATCATACACTACAACCTATGCTGGTTCCTTAACGTGTATGGCTATAGCTATATCATGTTGTGGTTTTCATAACAGTGGGATATTAGTCAACCCTCAAGATATAGCTCCTAAACACGCTGGCTCCGTCTTCGGTAAGTTGGACTTGCTACTTTTTTAATGCTAAACTGCAGCTACAAATGTGACCAGCAAGTGAGAATTAAGCCCCAGCAAAACCTTCTTCAGTTCAGCAGAGATTGATTCATTTACAGTGTCTTTGTACAAAATCAAAAAGATATAGATATTGATACGTTTTTGGCAGCTCAAAATAATCAGAAAGAGTTCTCTGGGCCTTTAATTTATCAAATTTTGTGAGTATAAAATCTGAGTCCCAGCACCAATTTATTCCTGGCGACGGGAATGAATATGATCTTGTGTCTATATTGTCACAGAACATACAAATTGTATTTTGTATCTTGATATGAAATAAGGAATAAAATAAAAACACTAAAGTTTGTATGTTAAATAGAAATTGAAAGCTGTATTGTTTATTTATTTTCAGGTATAATGAATATGGCTGGAGCTATCCCAGGTAAAATTTTATTTGTTTTCTCTTCTAACAAATAACTTTTATAACCCCGCTTTGTGTTTTCTTTGAAGGTTTATTGAAGTGGTTAGATCATGAACCATGGAAACTAAATACTGATAATTTATTCACTGAATATATTTCAGGTTTTGTAGGGGTATATATCGCAGGACATATTTTAGAAGCCACAAAAAGTTGGAGTGCCGTGTTTAACCAAACAGCAGGTGTGTGTATGGTGGGATGGGTGGTCTTTATATTTTTTGGAACGGGCAAACAGATTATTTAAAGGTGGTATTCATGTGGTTTGTGATCTCTTAGACTTTGTATGGCACTTTTTGGAATAATAAGTGAGAAATGTGCATTGCCGATAATGGGAAGAATTATCATTTAATACATGCTACTGCCTATGAAAATCTCCACCCAAAATGGCATTTATTTGAACTGTGTTCGCAAACAATCTGCAGAAAATTTGGTACCATAATTAGTAAGCGAGTTTATTATGTATGTACCATAGTAAAATGATATAGAACATAGTCTCATCTGTGTAAATTGCCATCAAGAACCGCATGTGGATAATTGATGTTCCAAAATAGAGAGCTGATTCTTACTGATGTAGCTGAGCTAGCTTCTGGTACTTTCAAATCTGTACCTAGTTGGTTTATTGAAGTTTGGAATTTAACTATGATGCAGTAGAATGAATTTGAGAACTATAGTACGCTGATAATGATTACATGAGACTTGCAAGTATTTTGGGCAATTAAACCCCTCCCCCTGATTTCCCCCTGATTCTTACAACCGACCAATTCCATTTCTTCAACTAAACACCATACACCATTGCTCCTCCAGATATATTGCTTGTACCTCCGAACTATCATGTGAATTCCGCACTTCTATGGCTATGGGCCTGCCTATAGTAAACTTTGCAGGGCTGTGGGCCCGCCTATAGGGCTGTGTGAAGGGTAGAATAAGGGTAGGAATGAAGGTGAAAAAGTTGGTTGTGTCTGTGTTTATTAATTATTTATTGTATTGTGACATTGGTAAAGAATAACTGTTCTTGTATGAAAGGAAAGGTTGTAAAATGTATGCATGCGTATTATAGTCACAATTATACTGTAAATGATCATATGTTATTTAAGTATTGAAACATTTAGAGATTTTATTCATTCTCTCATATTTACATGTATTTTTGTGAGGATGTGACTAAGATGGATGATTAAATAATCTGTAAACTGTAATCTGTAATTAAGTTATATACTACTAATTTGACAGAGTCTAGCTGTTTCTTTATATTATAACTGGCTTTATAATTGTATTAAAGAGAGGGATTATCTTCTGAAATCAGATTAACTGGTTTCTCCTTTTAAAGGAATACTACCTCTTAGAATGTACATAAAATTTAAAGTCTCAAACTTTGTCAATATGAGTATATATTCATCAGTTAGACTTACAAGGTGTCATGACTAAAGAATAGAATCTCTATATAACACAATATATCTATTAAACTAAATAATTATTGAAACACGCTTCCAAAATTGCTTAGTTTAATGGATAATTCAATTTTGGTCATCCAAAGAGGTAGTATACCTTTAATAAGCATTCCCCTGAACACTTGATTAATACATCGTGTCCAAACCACACCCCGTCATACTTCCTCAGACCATGTCAAACCCTGTATTCATGATAGATGTTGATTGATATAGCTTTAAATAGATTTTCTTACTTGTCACAAAATAACATGAATAAACTCCAAGAATTTCAGATTCTCTATATTTACATTCACCATGATTCAACCACAAGAATTTATGTACAGAAATCAAAAACAATATATATTTGTAAGAATGACCCGGATAGGAATTGGTCAAATGTTGTGTTCATTATTATTATTATTATTTTATCTTGATATTCTATATATTTGTTATGTAAATAAAATATTGAGATTTTTACCAGAATTTCTTACTTCCCTAGCAAAAATAATTATACCAGAGTATGGGAACTCTCCAAAAGGAATGACAAACCCATCATCAACTGGCATCAGCTGGGACTCAAGAGCTTAGAGTTTGATGGCCTCGTAGACATTTTTGTCCACTAGCAGAATCAGACTAACCTTTTGGTCAGTCTATGTAATGTAACGTGCGACCAGAGGATCCTTAGTTTCGATAGTTTAAATAGCCCCTCACCCAAGAAACACCACACCCAAGAGATGCCATCTGTACACTGATTGTTGTCGTTAATATATTTACAGATAATCGCCATACCTCTTCAGATTTGGGATACAGAGGCATTAAAAGACAATGAAAATGTCACCTTCAAGGTTTAGCAACACATGTATATTGTACAAGCCACCTGAATTCAGAACACAAATTTCTGTGCGTTGGATCGAAAACCATTTCCATGCCCCATTAAGATAATATCAGGGTTGATATTGTGAAGATCACGATGACTATACTGTGGATGGGTAAAAAAACAAAATATTGTTGTTTCAGTCGAGAGTTGCCTGAATCAACAACTGATTACAGTGCAATTAACTTTTAAAAATCCCCTCTGTTACCCCTATACTTGAAAGTGATCCGTCTCTTATTCTGTAAATATTTGAGTTATGATCAATAAGGGAGGCTTTTGACATCACGATATTATCTGAACTGGTATCAAATTATAATCTATATCACAAGATAAAATAATAAGATACATCATTGATATACTTACACTTTATAATTTATATCAGTTTTCATAATTCATATATTCATTATCATATGTGGTATATATTTAGGGAACTTAATATTTGAAAACAAATCAGTACAAGCAAATTTGGAAATTTGGTATTATCAGTTGTGGTATCTTGATCGTGAGATTTGAATGTTATTTGAATATATAGGAGATATTTTGGAAGCTAGTGTTCAAGATTGTATGGAAAACGATTCTCTGTCCATTTTTTGACGTGCATATTTTGTATTCCTGATTTTTGTATAAATTTGTGTGTGGATATCAGAGTGGTCTTTGTTAACAAATCGGTATAAACAATCTGTGCATGTAAAACTGCCTTTGGATATATACAATGTTCTCTGGGAATTCCGTAATCTGAACAATCTGACTTTGAAGACTTGAAAGAAATTGTCTATGGATTTGTTACTGCTGTAGTAGATTGTTATAACATCTTTATGAGGAAAACTGATCTTGTATTTAAAATTTTCATTAAATCTTAGAACAGTTTTAGTGCTACAGGTAGATCGTGAAATTTGAAAATTACCTTTAGATATCAGGTTGTTCAAAAAATTAATGCATACCATCTTTGTGTAGAAACTATTTCGGATAATTCTGTGTGGTTTCTGACCAACAATAGAAATTCTCAATTTAGATAAATTTCAAAAATCAATCAATAAATATCACAAACAATAAGACAAATCATTAATTAGGGTTTGGACGGATAACTATTCCAAGCAGTTTGCGATCAACAATTCTTTCGTGGTCATAGAAACTTACTGGAACCAAGGAATTGCTTAAAGATCTAATATTATTTTGATCATTTCTCTCAATCATTATTCAACGAAATTTAATATACTTTTAGATAACGGTTTACTTATCTCGGTCTCGTCGCCATCGAATACGTGAAAAACTATACCTGTATCATTTCTCATCAATATATTATTATCTACAGTGTGATGTTTATCATGAGGGCAATAAGTGAAATTAACTGGGCATTATGAGTTATAAACAATATCTTTTTATTATTTATCTTTCTTTCATCTTTACCGACATCAGCACGGGTGAGTTTTCTAGATTCTTATCAACTATCACATCGTTCCTTTCTTAACACGACGATGACATGAAATGTCTGGGATCGAGAACAAAATCTAGTTACATCTATTTTCCAAAGTTTATATCGTTTTTCTTAACACGACCAACGAGTATATGAAATGTCTGGGATTAAAAAGAAAAACTAGGTAAAAATTTCCAACGATTCTCAAAAGGTTATACCGTTTTATAAGGGAACCGACGATATGGGAATAATCTTTTCAGGTCACCAAGAGTCGGTAAAGAACAGTCGATCTGCTGTGTATTGCGTTGAGATAACTTGGAAGGTTAAATCATTGATATATATTATATTATATAAATATCTTTCCCGGGTTACCACAAATCATCTCAACCTACAACATATCCGGCAAATTTCTGTAAAACTGTAAAACTTTATTCTGATATATTTTGCTGTTTGTTATAATTAAGGGCTGGAAGTATGTGAAGACCATTATATCAACTGTCCACAAGACCACTGTGGTGCCTACCCTCTCCAACCACTCTATAGATATCACTGTATGAAAACATGTGGTGTTTGTACTAGTAAGTGATGCTTTTTTCTTTAGTTTTATACTTACATTATATCATCAATGGTATAGCATCTTTCAATCCGTCATAATGATAGGCCTATTAAATTGACTATAGCTCCTTTCATGTTATACGTGTTTGTTTCTGATACACAATCCTCATCAGGATTGCGAGTTCTCAATTCATCAAAAGAGGATCCCAACTCAAGCGTCGGAAGCGTCATTTTGTGGCGTATATCCTTAGGATAGAGTAAGTAGATGGAACAGAACGAGAATTAAACCCTTCTTCATTGCCCATTCCATATACTTCTTCCTTTTAATTTACATGTAACTAATTCTTGCAAGATTTTTCACATATTCTAACCACTAAAATCTAATTGTTCTATCCAAGGACAACTCTCAATATTGTGCTTCCTGACCATTACCTTTAACAATGTAGATATGAACAGAGCGCTGGGGAAGCCTACAGCCCAGATATCAACTAAGAATGGTGGTGTATCAGGACGAGCTGTTGACGGGAATATCAATAACGACCGAACTGGTAATAGCTGTACTAAAACTAATGAAACTGGTCTCAATGAACAATGGTGGTGTGTCGATCTTCAAACTGTTTATAATATAGACACCATTAAAATATATAACATACACGGCAGTAATAGTAAGCATTCATTCACTCTTTCGTTCATGTCGTCAATCGTTTGTTACATTCGACATCATCGCATGCTGGATATACAGATGAGAATTACGAATTCTGGTGATGCAGGGTAAAAAGCTCAAAGTGCGTTTCCATTCCGGAAGTTCTGTGGGCAAGTGCAAGTCAGTTGTCATATATTTTAAGCATTGATTCACAGTTCCTATTTAACGGCCCTTTGCGTTTAGAGTAACGATTACCTTACAATATTTACCAAAATTTATTGGTTACATTTCGCTGTTTGTGTCCCCAGGGTCTGTTTTTAGTAAAACGTTTTTCAATGGTCGCTCAAGACGCAATTCACATTGTTTCTTTCAGACCAGAAAAATCTGATAGGATTTAAAGTAAGTCTTGGCTTGGATGGTGCCTGTGATGATGAGGGTTTCCGGAAGTCAACGATTTGCTATACAGATCTGAACTGGAAGTCCGAGTCTGTGTACTCGATTAACCATTGTAATAATGAGTCGCCAATACATCTTGTTGGTCGGTTTGTGTTCATCAGTACCACCAGCTCCCTAGCCTCGAACAGACCGATTCCACTTTCTATTTGTGAAGTTGGAGTACATACAGGTAAATAATGTAAAGTTATGGTTAGAGTTGATAATGGTTAGAGTAATTCAGGTATGAGTTCGTGACAGTTGAAAATGATGGCTGCTGACAGATGAATATTGCAGGATGGTGTTACTTTTGTTTCCGCTTATTTTGTTTTTGCTAATTCTCATCTGATGCTTATGCTCTTGATGATACAGACAGTACTCGCGCTGATTCCCTAACAGCTCCTCCGGTTGCTCCCTTTGTTATTATCTTGTTCTATTTCTTCTCGTGCTGCTGTTAATGACAATGCTTGTGCTTTTCCCATAGCTCTTGCCATGCTGCTATTCCTATAGCTTTTCTGTGGTCCCGCCGCTTCTTTAACTCTTGTTACTTCTGGTATTGCTGGTATAACTGCCGTCCCTATATTCTCTTGCTCTGCTTCTCTTACTGATGATGAACCTGTCCTTATTGCCGTTGTCATTTCTCTTGTCATGCTCTGTTGTAATGTTCTTGCTCTTGTTGCTTTTATCATCCCTTTCCGTTTACTCCTGCTGATGTTACGCTTGTGCTTTGCTTGTTGGTCTCCTTGTTCTTGCCTCTGCCCATTGTTTTGCTGCTACGCTTCCTTGACGGTATTAGCTGAACGAACTGTCAAACAAGCTTTTATGTCATCTCTGATAATTTCCAGGTACGAAGTGTAACTCGGGTTATTTCAGCTATAATACAACAACCTGTCACCCCTGTAACACCTGTGTGGAATCGTCTTGTGATGCTGAAACTGGTGTGTGTATGGAAGGGTGTATTAATGGTTATAGAGGTGTCAAGTGTGACGAGTGTATTCCAGGACGATTTGGTCCAGCCTGCCGATACGCCTGTAACGATACCCAGTGTGTTGGGAACTGTGACAGTGAAACGGGCACCTGTCACCTGTGTAAACATGGATATTATGGAAGGAACTGCGAGCACACCTGTGATGATAAGTGTATTGGTGGAGAATGTCTTCAGCTAGATGGGTCTTGTGCTCTTGGTAAGGTTTGTCTCGTGGACTCTTTTTTTTACCTTTGGCAGAGGTCTGCAAGATGCACAAGAGAGACTATCAAATGACTGTCCAAATATGAGGCACGAGATTACAAGAGCAGAGCTAGAATTTCATCTGGTTGTTTAATAGGATGTTATCGATCATGTTAGTGAATTCGATTGTCAACTTTAAACAGTCTTAGAACGATATTGATTTGTCAATACGAAGCTTTTTTCCATATGGATTAACGCCTTTCCTACTGCTGGTGGACGAAGCTGTCCTCAAATTAAACCTCCAGTTGAATAGCTTCAAACTATGCCTGCTGGATGTCTAAAATACACTGGTAACTTTATTTCAGAAAAGGATCGCGAACCTGAGCATATCCATCCTCCCTCTGGAGATGATACGGGAATAGATAAAACTGGTGCAGGATTTGTTGGTTTTTTCTGTGGAATAATCATCGCCTGTCTCGCTCTGTTTGGTTATCGTGTCTTCAAGAAAAGGTGAAACATCGAAAAGTTGCTAATTGGTGATTTGGAGATTCCAATGCTGCTACTATGACTACCATACTTTTACAATTACTTTGTGATAAAGTCTTTAGTTGAAAGGTTTTGATGTCCAAACGTCATACTAATGTCCATAGTGGATGAATGGGCGCCCAGGCTACAAAGCTGCCAAGCTAGATCCCAAGAAATGATCAATATGTAATCACTTCTAATATCTAATTAATCTAATTCGCCAGTTATATCTTATTTTGATGTTTGGTAATTGGTTAGGTCTTTCATAAGTTTAAAGATACACCCAAGTAACTATTTTTCAGGAGAAGTAGAAACAAGCAGAAACCAATCAGGATGACACCGAAACCAGTTCGACCACCACCAATTCCGGAAGATAATTCTACTTACATTCCAAGTTTCGAATCCCTCAGCTCTAGATACATACAAGTCACTGATCCGGATCCGGTTACAGACGAGTCGGGTTATTTAGCCAGTCGAGATGTTCCCGACAGTTTCAGACGCGATGCCAAAAAGACAGAAGGACCTAGACGAATGTCTTCTTATAGTCTTGATCATGGTAGTCGATTCAACGCCAGCTCAGATAAAACGAGGAAGATCTCTGTCTATAGCCTCAGTGTGGATAATGGTTATGTGTCTGCGCAGACAAGCAGACGATATTCTTCTTCCGATGTGGAAAATCGGCCAGCATTAGAGCTTCCCGGCGTCGAGAGGGAGGAGAAACGCGAATCAAAAGAGGAGTATCAGGACGAAGGATACGATCCTTATGAGCATGTCACCAATATTTAGAATCTTCAGTGAAACCTTTTCGAAAAAGTCCAATCCCGTGCCAAAAAGTAGGACATGAAACTCCATATGAAACGTTGAGAACTAAAGTCTAAATATTCAGTTTAATAGTTAACACTTCCATAACAAAAATCTTAAAATGGCTGGTGTTAACAATCGAGATGAATAACGTTTGATGAAAGTGGTGCAGAGCTTTAGTGTAAAAATAAAGGATAAAAACATACTAAGTCACTAAATATAAAAACCAACCTTTCTTTCCTTTCTTCAGCTTTGCTTAGTTAACCTCTTTCAAGCCCTTTATTTCTTATACTTCGAATACATGTACATCTAATTATGTATCTATATATATATATTGTAAATAAATAAATCTACTTTGAATCTGTAATTCTTTTCTGTATGATATCGTTCATCATACCAATATATCTTGTCCAACTAGTTAGCAACCAGGGCAGTTTTGTCATCAGAATGGATATTTTTACAATGATAGATTTCTGTGGTCAGGATTGGACGATGGGCAAACAAAACTATCATTGGACGATGGGCAAACAAAACTATCATTGGACGATGGGCAAACAAAACTATCATTGGACGATGGGCAAACAAAACTATCGTGTTCAACTAGCTAGCAGAATGCTTGGTGAAATGAACAGTTTTCTGTAGTGAGAGTGGAAATAGGGTACAAGAATAGTTTTTTGTGGCCAGCAAAACGCCATTCTGACCCACCACTCAATATCTTTCTAGCTACACCTTCCAGCAATGGTAGCTAATGTGAATGCAGAATGCAGCATTGTCGATAGATTTATCTAAAACTAATCCACATTAAGTCTAGGATATTCTTATTTATTACATTGCCAAAGTGCAGGGTTAATCCTATCATCGTGACGGCCTCTGTGGGGAGATTAATGACGTATATAGGGTTAATGGTAACTAATAACAACTGTTATACAGTGATTGATATTGAGTTAAATAAGACTATAGTGGTTTCAATATATCTCATAAACCCCCAAATACACTACAACAGGTCAGATTTAGATATAGATTTGCTGATCAACGTAAAATACCAAATATGGCAGCAGGTATAGATCTATATTTCATAAATTTAAACTTTGTATCCGACTAATTGATGTATAAAATTAAAAAATTTTCCTGAGAAGTCAACAATCGGGCTGTCACTGCTGTGGTTTTGGGGGAGCATGCCTCCACCCGAGGCTGCTTTTATCCAGAAATCTAAGAGTAATTAATGGACTCCTTTGAGTCTCTTGTTATGTTTGTGGTGAGCATATGTCAGTACCCACACTTCCACAGCGCTTACATTTGGAATCTCAACCCCAAAAGTTGCCTCCGCCACCCCAGTTAATCAGACCTTCTAGGGGGCACGACGCTACCACTGCTCTCGACCAAACTACCATTCTACTATATTTATTATTACCAGAATTACCCGGCGTTAAAATAGGGCTGAAAAAACTAGCTGGTGTTTTATTTGATGATATCGGGGACCACCTCAAGACTTCCGGAAAGTAAGTTATTTATCATATTTTCCGTTGGTATTAATGGTCCTGTGGGAACCAGTATTCTTTTCATAATATATTTCTCAATTGAAAGATTATAGATTTTTAAATCAAATATTCATATTATATTTTTCAAACTAACTGTACAAACAATACTCTCCCCTACTCTCCCCTAGAGGTTAAGCTGTAGCCTATGACTATGCTTTTGTAGCATTATTAAACCACTGCGTTACAAACCAAAATTCTACCGGAATTAGTGTTACAGAAACCACAATCTGAATGCTATATGTCCAGAGCAATTCAGAGGAGTTTTGGACATTTTTTGAAAGTCATTAAATAAAAGAACTGTATCCAAGCAGACTTTTTTTCTGCCAAATTTTTGAACTCTTAATAGATGTGTATCGTTGTACGATATTACAGGACCTCATATAACAGCTCTCAGTCAGCACAGTAACAATAGATAGATAGAGAAGGCTAACGTCTGTCTTTATCAATAGTTCCTCATCGAATACTGCTTGTCGTTTCCCGTTTTAAGAGGCAAGGAGGCCAAACCACACCCCCATTCGTCATACTTCCTCGTTAATAAGACCAGGTCAAAATCCGTATTCGTGATACGATGACTAGTAGGATATTTCATATAATTTTCTTTCTCATAAAGTTATCGACCTCCTCGAATATAAATATAGGCCCAACTTTGTTGAGATTGGGCTGAAAAGGAAATATTTCTGTCTTTCAAGCATTTTTCCTAATAACTACAACTTTGACTAACAATATTTCAGATGGCCGTTAGTTATAGATGAAACTGGTCAAGCCGCTACATTTTTAAAATATCGAGATTGTAACTGTCTGAATACTCTAGAAAAGATCGATATGGAGCCAGAAAGATTGAGAAAAGCTTTAATTGGATCTCTCAGGTAAAGTTGTTCTCGGTTTCTTTGGGCATCACACCCCACCCCCTACAATAGATACCCCTTTAACAAAACATTAGTACCATTTGTTGACCCATTTTCATCATATTTTTTTGCGTTTTAGAATGAATTTCCTCGATTCAATTATTTGGTTCACGTCTGCTGTTCAGTAATCCACAACACCTTAACCAGAATGTACCAACTCTCTGTGCAAAAACCCTGAATGTCTTGCATTGCATCGCTGATATACTGAACACCCTCTGAAACCGTGTAAGATATCATTTCCTTCTATTGTATTATATAGGTTTGGTAAACCGTTTGTAATAGATATGATGGATGCTGATATGTTTCAACTGGTAACAGAAAGACTGGACGAGATACAGAAAGGTTTGATGGATTCTATTCTAGATAGGAGTATACTCAACGAGGACAAGTAAGGTTTTAATAAATTACAAACAGTTTCTTAATTAGTACATGATCTCGGTTCAGGGCCTGGAACCAAAAAATCAAAAAGTTTTAAAATCTTGATCATAATAAGGGAATGATTTTTATAAACTCAGCAAGGACAAGTAGCGTTTTCATTTCCTCGTAATAATAGGTACGGAAAGAGGCAAGGTGTCTGACATCTTCACAATGTCAAGCTATTACGAACTTCGTCTTATACCTTGACTAGTCATATTTAATGTATCACGGAATGAAGCAATTTGATTGG